GTTTCTACTGAAATGAGGCTGCATTTTAATGTTGTATTTTAATCTTGTTTTCAAGTTGTATTTTAATCAATTGTTTTTATACCTGGTGTTAGCCGCTCAGAGCCCAGTCTTGGCTGGGGAGGGTATAAATATATATATTTAAAATTATTATTATTATTATTATTATTATTATTATTATTTCCCAGGCAAAACATACCCGGTTCCTTCAACTGTTCCTCATCAGGCTTGATTTCCAGACCCTGGACCATCTTGGTCACCCTCCTCTGCACACGTTCTGCCTTGCCCCCATGGGCTCCTTCAGCAGACTCGGACAGGGCCATGCTGTGCAATCTCAGGCTTGTGAAACACCCTGGGCAACCTCTCCCGAATGCCATTCTGGGATGCTGCAGCCAGCTGGATGCCCTCTTGGGAAGGAGATTCTATATATAGAATCATCCAGTGCCAGGGCAGCGAGAGCTAGGCAGGGGCTGGTCTGGCAAGCCTGCTGACCGGCAGCTCAGCAGAAGCCTGAGTGGAGGAGCTCAGCCTGCAGGGAGCTGAGGAGCTGGGCCAGTGTCATAGAATTGCAAAGTTGGAAGGGACCCCAAGAGGCATCTAGTCCAACCCCCTTGCAATGCAGGAATCTCAAATAAATCACCCCTGACAGATGGTGTGATAAGAATTTTAAGGTCTTAGATATATAATAAATGTACCAACCAAGCACGTACATAGATCAGCACAGGAAGACGGACCTGAAACCATTTTTGATTCCCAAACTGACCAAATGTTTTCCTCTGCAAGGTCAAAGGAAAATGGAAACGCCTCCCCATTGTCTTTTCCTTCACAAATCCTGTCTTGAGGGTATGTCTGTCTGTGTTTGAATAGGGTGAGCCTGTAACCTGCCAGACAGGAGATAAACAACGCACTCAGATTTCTGCTGTAGACCACCCTTTCTGTGATGTAGGTATGATGTGTCTGGGGGGTGGGCTTGGGTTACACCCCTTCTGTGATGTATGTATGATATATAAGGGCAGGCACGCCTTTGTTCTGGGTTCCTCCTCCCTCCTGCGTGTGAGGGGAGCACCCTGTTGCAATAAAGATCAATAAAGATCAGGCTACCTAGCTGCTTGGCTTCTCAATATTCTCTGGTTGGCCTCTGTTATTTTCTCCTACCAATAGGAAACTTACATAAGGATTCTAGATGGGCTCTTGGATACCCCATAAGGGAAAAAGGGCACATTTTGTTTACAACAATGGGCATCCAACCTCTGCTTAAAAGCCTCCGAGGAAGGGGAGCCCACCACTTCTAGTGGGAGACTGTTCCGCTGTCAAACAGTCAGCAACCAAAAAGGCACAATATTACCGGTCCCTCTGCACACCAAATGGGCAAGAAAAGGCAGTTCACCCACCTGGAGCACCCAGAATCAAGGGCCACGGCTCTCCTCTGCTTACCTGCTGCCCCAGGTGTGCACACCTGGAACCCAGGGCATAAGAACATAATAATAGTCTGCTGGATCACGCCAGTGGCTCATCCACCCCAGCATCCTCTGCTCACAGTGGTTGACCAGGTGCCTGCAGGAAACCAGAAAGCAGGATTCGAACTCAAGACCCCTCTCCCTTCTTGCAGTTTCCAGCAACTGGGAGTCAGAAGCATTGTGGTCTCCAACTGTGGAGTGCAGAGCATCGTCATCCCGGCTGGGCCTCTCTTCCACAGATTTGCCTAATCTTTTTTAAAGCCACCTTTTTAAAAAGCGGGTGGCGCTGTGGGTTAAACCACTGAACCTCTTGGGCTTGCTGATCAGAAGGTCGGTGGTTCGAATCCCCGTGACGGGGTGAGCTCCCGTTGCTCGGTCCCTGCTCCTGCCAACCTAGCAGTTCAAAAGCACCTCAAAGTGCAAGTAGATAAATAGGCACCACTCTGGTGGGAAGGTAAACGGCGTTTCCATGTGCTGCTCTGGTTCGCCAAACACAATTTAGTCATGCTGGCCACATGACCTGGAAGCTGTCTGTGGACAAACGTCGGCTCCCTTGGCCTATAGAGCGAGATGAGCGTGCAACCTCAGAGTCGTCCACAACTGGACTTAACGGTCAGGGGTCCTTTACCTTTACCTAGTGACCAAAAGTCCAGAGGTAGCATTATTATCAATTTACAATGGCATGGGAGGTTCACAGACTATGGAGGACTTGCTCACAAATCTATTGGCAGCTGCACAAATCATGATAGCCAGAAGTGGAAGGGGCAAGCGGAATATAAAATGGAAGAATGGTACAAGGAGGTGTGGGATATAGCCATTAACGATAAATTAGCGTGGGCCATTAAGGTAAGGGGGGCGGAATGCAGGAGAGATGATTTTGAGGAGATATTGAGGGTGTTTGTAGAATTTGTGCTGTTAAAACGGAAAGGAGTCAAACCATCGCAAGAGGTGTTGAAATTTTGGGAAGGTTGGATAGTTACAGTAGAATGGTCTCGGTGGCAGGGTGCACAATTTTATTCTTATTTATTTATGATTATTACTTTGTCAAAAAAAAAAGCAACCACCTAGGCCAGGGGTCAGCAAACTTTTTCAGCAGGGGGCCGGTTCACTGCCCCTCAGACCATGTGGGGGGGCCGGCCTAGATTTTTAGGGGGGGGGAATGAATGAATTCCTATGCCCCACAAATAACCCAGATATGCATTTTAAATAAAAGGACACATTCTACTCATGTAAAAACACTCAGATTCCCAGACTGTCCGCGGGCCAGATTGAGAAGGCGATTGGGCTGGATCCGGCCCCTGGGCCTTAGGTTGCCTACCCATGACCTAGGTTGAAGACCATCACTGCCTCTAGTGGGATAAAGTTGTGTAGTTTAACTGTGTGCTGTGCAAAGGAGTCCTTTCGTTTCTCTGCCCCGAATCTTCCAACATTTAGCTTCACTGGAAGAGTCACAAGTTTTCACGTTGTGAGAGAAGGAGGAAGAATTTCTTAATGCTGTAATCTTATAAAACCCAATGCATAATTTTATAAGCTTCAGTCGTGCAACTTCTTACTCACCTTTTCAGTAATAAAAGAGTGTCCCCAGGGCCTTCAGACTGCACTGCCCCTTCCCCGTTGCTAGCACAGGACGTAGCAAGCCAGAATTGTAAGGTTGGAAGGGACCCTGTGGGGTCATCTAGTCCAACCCTGCAGGAATCACCCTGCTGCACTCAGAAAAACACAGCCCTCCCCCACGCTCCTTTGGAGGACGCAAGACAAAGGACTGGTACTTGAATCTGTACATTTATTTACATTCAGCCAGGAGTGGCAAGGGGTGGGGGCGCTGGGGGCACATCGAGAGATCACTCAGCCAGACACAACGGGGGGGGGCGGCGCAGAAACTGCTTTTTTTTCCATGGGGAGGCACCGAGACAAACCCAAGCTGGAGACCTTCGTGGAACTGGGGGAAAGCTTAGTAAATCAGTAGACACAGGATCCGCCCTCCCGCAACTGTCAGAAAATACACGCAATCCCAACCACACACACCCTGCCTCCAGCCTCGGACCAAAGTTAAAATGGGCAGAAAAACATTCCTTTCTCTCCATTGCTAAATCAGTGGTTCCCAAAGTAGGAGGTAGTGCCCCTCTGGGAAGGACACGGGTGGCGCCGTGGTCTAAACCACGGAGCCTCTTGGGCTTGCCGATCGGAAGGTCAGCGGTTCGAATCCCCGTAACGGGGTGAGCTCCCGTTGCTCTGTCCCTGCTCCAGCCAACCTAACAGTTCGAAAGCACGCCAGCGCAAGTAGATAAATAGGTACCACTGTGGCGGGAAGGGAAACAGCGTTTCTGTGCACTCTGGCTTCCGTCACAGCATCCTGTTGCACCAGAAGTGGTTTAGTTCTGCTGGCCGCATGACCCGGAAAGCTGTCTGTGGACAAACGTTGGCTCCCTCAGCCTGAAAGCGAAATGAGCGCCACAACCCCATAGTCGCCTCTGACTGGACTTAACCATCCAGGGGTCCTTTACCTGTTTTCTGGGGGGTGCTAAGAGGCAAAGGCAGCAGGCTGGCACTAGAGGTGTAAAAGTCCGTCAGACTTTGAGAAGAGATCAAGTTCATGAATTGTGTCGAATTAATTAAACTAAATCATTTTAACTGGATTGCAACTAACTGCGGCTGCATGGAATTTTATGGTGTTCCTCTGTTCTGTTGTGGGTTTGTGCAGGCTGCTATTCTGAATGGCACTTTTTATAGGGCAGAGGGATGAGTTTAGGGAACCAAGGGGGAAGTGGCCTGGAAAGGTTCAGAAACAACCATCCCAAATCAGCATCCTGCGGAGAAGAGAGGGCCAGGATCCTTTGTTTATCTGGCAGAGAAGGTGTTGGACCTGACCCCAAGAGAACTGCTCTTAACTCCCTGGTCAGCCAGATACGTCTTGGATTGCCAGCAGTGCAGAGGCCAAAATGAGGCACGAAGAGAGATGGATGGATCCCTTGGCGATACGCACAAGAGTAGGGAGTGTGTGACTGGGATTGCATCACGCTCCAAGTGTATCCCTGCTCCATCGTTGGTGTGATGGCCTGGGACTCGGGCTTAGACTCAGAACCAGAGGAGACTCAGTCCGCACCGGATCCTCTGCCTCAGGTGGCATCTGGACCAAGTCTGGGGCCTGATTCTGAAGAGTCCCAGTCTCCACAGGTTCCCCTGCAACAAACCCCAGCTGGGCCGAGTCAGGGGCCTGAGCCTGCCCTGGCTCCAGATGTGGGGATGACCTCGTTGCCTCCAGCTGGGCCATCACTTACAGCTGCTCCACTACCGGTTGGGTTGGGTCAGGGGGGGCTGAGGCGGCCTCTGGGTCTAGTAACCCACCGACGGCTCCCGAGCTGCAGAGACTCAGGTCTGAGAGAAGGAGAGACCTGAGTACTCGCAGGCGGAGCGCTCACCTTCGGGCAAAACAGGGAGGTGAGTCACCAGGGGATCAGGACCGCCCTGACAGAGATAAAAGGCTGTCGGACCCTGGCCCAGGTTGTGGGAGCAACATTGCTGTTTGCTGGAAGCTGCCTGTTACCTTGTGCCTGACTTAGCCTGGTTTCCTGCCTTGACCCTGTTGGACTGACTCCTTGTGGAATCCTTGGATTCGGGACCGGACCTGGACCGCATTGCTCGGGTTAACCTCCAGACCCAGCACAGTTGGGGAAACTTGTCCAATCTCAGACTTTGTCTTCTATATCAGCCTTCTCTCAACTCAAGATTCCATGGCAGATGGGCATCCAATCTCTGCTTAAAAACCTCCCGGAACCAGGGTCCACCCCCTTCCATCACATCGGAAAATATGATGTCGCATGATTCCAAGTCAGACTCACGGGTCCATTCAGCTGAGCATTGCTTACACTGACTTGCAGCAGCCCTCCAAGGGCTTCAGGTGGGGCGTTTTCCTGGCCCTACCTGGAGATGTCAGGATTTGAACCTGGGACCGGTGTTCTGCCACTGGGCTACTGCCCTTCCAACACCATCCCTGGCCAGCAGACATGCTGGGCCATGTTTTTGGGAGTTGTAGTCCAGAACATCTGGCAGGTGCCAAGTTGCGGCAGCCTGCACATGTTACCAGGAGATGGGAGAGACTCCAGGTTTCTCCTTTCAGTGGCAGTCCACATCCCTTGTACTGGTTCCTTCTGTCCTCAGCTTGCCCATCAGGAAAATGGGCTCATGAGTGACCTACCTGGCTCGGCTGCGGGAAAGGCACATGTAGTGAGGATTCCCAAAGCACACCAAGTGCTGCAGGAACTAAAAGCCACAATCAAACTCTTGTTAACACCCCTGCTTCCTCCACACCCTTCCACGGAACTACGTTTCCCCGGGTTATTCTGGGTCATTAACCTAAGGGGGAGTTGGAGGGAAGTTTAAATAAAAGAGGTTTTGCAAAAACACACTCGGCTTTGGCCTGCAGTTCCATTTGAGGCCAGTTTCCCGGGATCTACAGGGGAGTGACCCTGGGCTAATGGAGGAGATCTCCGATGTGTGCACAAACACTCAACAGGCACACTTGGAGCACTCCTCTCTGTTGGTGGCCGGCTCTGAAGCAGCCCTTTCAGATGGGCGAGGAGGCGGCCGTGGCCAGGCCAGCCCAGCCCAGATGGTCTTCATTAGTCCAGCTCCTTCCCCTCTTCCTCTGGGGGTGGGGGGTGGGATGCAAGAGCCTTGCTCTCCCCTTCCCCTTCCACTCCTCCCCGTTCCCCTTCCAGACCCTTCGGCAGCGCAGGAGGGCAAAGAGGTTAGCACAAAGTGGTTTGCACAATGCTGTCTTCTTATTCTCCTCCGCCGCCTCCTCTGGACCAGCTGCCCATCTGGGGATGCTCCTCCTGGAATGCCGGCTGTTCGCTTCCTGCCCGCCCAGAGCCTAGAGGATCTCTGAGTGCGCAGGCCGGAAAAGGCAGTTTCCTGTCCGCATTATCAGCTTCCCACAGCCGTCCCTGGCGCAGTGGGGTTCAAGTCCTTGGGGTTGTTTTTGGTGTGTGGTTTTTTTGCTGGGGGGGATCTGCAAGGCTGCCCTTGTGGGGATGAGGCATTGCTTGCGCTAGACCGTCACGCAGTCTTTCTCAACCTTGGGTCCCCAGATGTTGTTGGACTACAACTCCCATCATCCCTAGCTAGCAAGGCCAGAGCTCAGGGATGATGGGAGTTGTAGTCCAACAACATCTGGGGACCCGAGGTTGAGAAACGCTGCGAACCTCGGCTAACTCCAAGACATAGCTGTCAAATTTTTCCTTTTTTTAAGGGAAAGTCACTTATTCCGAATAGGATTCCTCGCAAGAAAAGGGGAAAGTTGACAGCTATGCTCCAAGAGCACGCAGGGGGACAAGGCCTTCCTAAGCAGGGTCGTGAGGCGCAACTTCTGTGCAAAAAGTCAGAGCAGAGACGTCTCGGGGGTGCCAAGGCAGCGAGCGGTTTGTGGGTGGCGCAAGCAGACTGGAAGCCGAGAAGCCGTTCTGCAGAAGGAGACGGGCACAGGGTTGGCAGCCTGGCAAAATCCTTATAGCAAAGGTTTGGGAGCCGTCTTTCTCAGTCAAGGGTTGGGGGCGATCCAACACGCCCTGTATGCACAATCTTGGGGACTTGGGAAGATGCTCTCCCCAGCACTGTGGGGCAAGATTTTGGTTTGCTGGGGAAGGTTACAGAACCAGTCCGGGCCGCTGGGGAGAGGATGGGCACAGCGGGGAGACTGCAGTTCAGCCAAGCCGCAGTCATCCCAGAAACCAGTTCCCTTAAAGTTTGCACGTGGAATCGGAGGCAAAAAACAAGGCATAGCAAAGGTAAGGAGATGCAGTTGGCTGCAGTGGTTTCGGAAGGTCCCTTGAAAGCAGCAAACGGTCAGACGTATGTCGGGCGAGGTCCTTAGCAGCAGTCCAAGAGCAGCAGGGCATCTAGGAAGCTGGGTTTGTGTGGAGCGTGGAGTCCAAGAGGGAGAGGTAGCAGAATAGCCACTAAACAGGAGGACGTTGCTCAAGTCAGACAATATGGAGAGGTAGGGAAGATTGGCTTAGTGGCAACTGCGCAGGAATATGGGGATGCTATCAGAGAGAGCAAATATCATACACATAGAGGGAGCTTCCCTACTAAAAAGTTCCAGGCCGGCGTCCACCGGCTTCTTGCCCCCAGCTCTCTGGGAAGGAGCCAGCTCTGGGGCAGGCCCCGATCCTCTTGCCCAAGCAAGTCCCTGAGATGTGGGGCACCAGGAGAGCAACGCAGTTCAAGCTTCCCGTCGGGAGTTCCCCCTGCCCCCTTTCCATCCACGTGTCGCTCGATTCTGCCCGCTTCCAGCCCCGCCACTCAGACGCCCATCGCGGTCAGAGATCCCGCGCTGGTGATCTTCTTGAACCGGTTCGCAGCACAGACGCCGATGAAGTTTTTCTGCGTGGTTGGAAAAGAAAATGCACACAAGAGTGAAAAAGGGGGGGAATAGCATCAAGGCTAGGAAGCTCACACCGCAGGGTCAAATTATAATAAATTAAAAATTACAATTAAATTAAAAGAATGCAAATCAAGTATGCAAATCAAGGTTGTGCTTCTAACTTCCATTGCAGAATTTCTTCTGTTACCTATGAGGAAGGGGAAATGGTCTGTGGGAGCCCTGGGTAAGATTCTGGGTTTACTGTGGTGGACATGTAAAATAGTAATTCTGGGGAATGATATATAATGAATTGGAAAAAATGTTCAAGTTAGCCTTTATCAAAAAACCAGAAGCTTTTCTATTGGGAATAATAGGGGATTAAATACCAAAGTACTTAAAAAAAGAATGCTTTTTGCCCAGAAGCAGAAGGAAGAGAAAATCCCAACCAAGAGTGGATAGCCAAGATGATGGACTATGCAAAAATGGCGAAGTTGACTGTGGAGATCAGAAACCAAGCTGATAAATTTTCTTAGCAAAATGTGGGAGAAATTTATAGATTACCTTAAAGAACACCATAGATATTAAAAAAGTTAACAGGATTGTTATAACCCTTCTAATGTAATAAGACTAAAGGATATAAAATGATTTTGGATATAAAATGATAGAAAAGGATATAAAATGATTTTGAAAAAATGTAATTTTAAGCAACAGATAAAAAAAACAGATAAAAATTGGAAATCAGGGGAGGGTGGGGGAAAAATCCAGGGATTCAAGTAATCTCAGATGTGCAAAAACGGAAAACGATTTAAATGTATAAGAATATTGTTTTAAAAAAGGGGGAATTTTTGGGTTCACTGAGCACCGATCATGGTTTGTTTCCAGGGAGGTTAGATTATGTTCATCCAGGAAGAAATATATTTGAAGAGCAACTGTAATCAACAAATTATGCTAGTAGGACCACAAGAAGTTTTGCAAGGAGAAATGTATGAAGCATTGCAAAGTGGAGAAAGAATAGAGATATTAGTTATGAATTAAATGTAATTGTGGAAGTAAGAAATGTATATTTAGTGAATAGATTGGGAAGTTTTCAGATGTGATTGATGGAAGTCAAAAAAAATGGTATAAGATATGAAAGCATGTTTAATTACTGTTGAAAATATGTTGAAAAACTAATTATATATATATATAAATGATGTTCATCAAAGCAACTGCATTTCCCTTCCTCTTTCTTGGCTGCATAAAGTCTTATCTTTTTTGGGGGGGAGCATGTTTGTTGTGCAAGGCCTCCCACTCAACTAGACTTGCGCGACCTGAATTCCGCTGGCGTGTGATTGAACCCCACCCCAAAACAGTGGGTGGCCCACCAGCAGCCATTGCGCTACCTCCCAGTCTGAGCCCAAAGCTTGTGGGATGACTCACAGGGGAGTGGGAAAATGGACCAAAACCGCCGTCCCCCCCTTTCCGGATATGGTGAGCTCCCTCCCGCGACTGGCTGCCCCTTTCCTTTGTGAGGAAGCTCAGGACAGAAATTTACCGTATTTTTCGCTCCATAAGATGCACTTTTTTCCTCCTGTAAAGTAAGGGGAAATGTGAGTGCGTCTTATGAAGTGAATGGCACTGCGCAGAGAGGTAGAGGTCCACAGCGCCCCTTCTGCGAAGTGGGAAGAAGAACGGAGCCCCTTCTGTTCCTCCTCCCGCTTCGCAGGAGAGGCGCTGCGCAGAGAGGGAGAACTGCGCAGCACCCCTTCAGCGAGGCGCCTGTCCTGCGAAGCTGGAGGAGAAACAGAAGGGTCTCCTTCTGTTCCTCCTCCCGCTTCGCTGAAGGGGCGCTGCGCAGAGAGGGAGAACTGCACAGCCCCCCTTCAGCAACGTGCCTGTCCTGGCTTCTGCCTTAGCCGCGGGCAGCCTCTTCGGGCAGGGGGAGCCTTCATCCTGCTGAAGAAGAGGAAGAAGAAGAGTTTGGATTTGATATCCCGCTTTATCACTACCCGAAGGAGTCTCAAAGCGGCTAACAATCTCCTTTTCCCTTCCTCCCCCACGACAAACACTCTGTGAGGTGAGTGGGGCTGAGAGACTTCAGAGAAGTGTGACTGGCCCAAGGTCACCCAGCAGCTGCATGTGGAGGAGCGGAGACGCGAACCCGGTTCCCCAAATTATGAGACTACCGCTCTTAACCACTACACCACACTGGCTCTCGAAGAGGCTTGGCGCGGTCATCCCAGAAGCCAGAACAGCCACATGGTATCCCAGAAGCCAGATCTCTCTTGCTGTTCTGGCTTCTGGGATTCAAAATATTTTTTTTCTTGTTTTCCTCCCCCCAAAACTAGGTGCGTCTTATCATCTGGTGCGTCCTATAGAGCGAAAAATACAGTAATAAAGAAGCAAATACCTTCCATCGCCTCTTCATCACGTATTTTCGGAGCAGGACCTGGGATTTCAGCCGCCGATTGACCCGCTTGGCTTTCTCTCCCAAGTTGTTGAGCCAGGGGTGTTGCAGGCACTGGGCGGCACTCAGGCGTCCACTGGGGAGGGGGACGAGAGGCAAAGATTATCGGGGGGGTCACCACCTGCAGCTGCTGTATCCCAGAGCCCCTAGCCCCCCCATCCCGTGACGTACAAAACCCTGCAATAAATAGAAAGCGCATCAAACAGTGTCTGCGTTCCAACCTGCCCTGCAGAATTCGCACTCAACTTCTGGAGAGGAAGTTGTCGACGGCACAGTCACCAGCCAATTGGTGCCACACACAGCCAGTTACTGCAGCTCCCCGCCCATGGGGTGTTTTTATCCTGCTGTGTTATTATTGGTTGTTGTTTTTTACTTTTTAAACAAATACAAGTAAATATAAGCAACCAAAATGACAAAAGAAAAATCCTTAATAATAATAATAATAATGGAAAAGGCTAAAAAACTACAAAAAATATCAAAGTACATGGCATAGAACAAAAGGAAAAAGGAAAGGAGAAGGAGAAGGAAGGAAGAAAAACGGGAAAGAAAAAAAAGAGGGGGGAAAGGGGAAATGAGCCAAAACACAAGAAGGCTCATCTATTGCACGCTTCCGTCAAGGTCACAACAGATCATTATTCTTATCGATTCTCTCTATCTGTATTCCATAGAATCCCTCATCTTGGTATCGGGGAACATTTCCCTATGTGGTATCATTCTAAACATAGCCAGGTCTTTATTGATGAACCCTTATCCCCTAGATAATTATTTAAACCTCCCCATTCTTCTTTCACCGTCTTTTTAAGTTTATCTCTTATTGCATCTGTCAGCTTCGCGAGCTCCAAGTACTCAGACAATTTGACCACCCATTCATCTTTAGTGGGTGTATTCTTATCTTCCCAGTGTGTTATTATTGTTTTATGGACATGGCCCACTTCAAATACGCGATTTGGATATCCCACGTATCACAACTTTCTGGAGCGTGGTGATAGCAACCTACATTGGCTCCCAGTACGTTTCTGAGCACAATTCAAAGTGTTGGTGCTGACCTTTAAAGCCCTAAACGGCCTTGTCCCAGTACACCTGAAGGAACTCCAGCCCGGACTCTGAGGTACAGCACCAAGGGCCTTCTGGCGGTTCCCTCACTGCGAGAAGCCAAGTTACAGGGAACCAGGCAGAGGGCCTTCTCGGTGGTGGCACCCACCCTGTGGAACGCCCTCTCACCAGATGTCAAAGACAAGAACAACTACCAAACTTTTAGAAGACATCTGAAGGCAGCCCTGTTTAGGGAAGCTTTTAATGTTTGATGTATTACTGTATTTTAATATTTGGTTGGAAGCTGCCCAGAGATGGATGGGGTATAAATAATAAATTAAATTAAAATTTAAAAATATAGAAATTAAGAAATTCATTATAAGCGATAGAGAACGGAAGATCATCAGAGGTGTTGATGGAAGTCTAAAAATATTGTATAAGATGAGAAGTTATGTTGTATGACTGTTGGAACTGATATGTTAAAAAATGAATAAAAATGTAATTTTTTTTAAAAAAAGCCATGGGCCTGATCCAGCAACCAGCTCTTTTTAGGTCCTTATGGATGTCCACAACTTCTAGTGTCATGCGAGTAAGGAGAAAAAGTCTCTCTACCCCTTTCTCACCGCACTGCTTCTTTTAAGAAACCTCTATCGCCTCCCCTCTTTTCCAGAAACCTCCTCTGTCATCACAGCAGAAGCCAGATTCGCTTCTTCAACCGGGATAGCTCAGTCGGTGGAGCAGGAGACTCTCAGGGTTCTGGGTTCAAGTCTCACACTGGGCGAAAAGGGGGTTGGACTAGATGACCCCTGTGGTCCCTTCCAGCTCTGCGCTTCCATGATTCTAAAGAGCCTGTACAATTTTCTACTGGTCTCCCTCCAGCTAGAAAATGTTAAAGGGTGCGGTGCCTCTCCATTTGCTCTCTGGCTGACCTGGAGGTTAATCGGTTCCCACACAGAAAAGAGCAAAGCTTTCCCCCCTTTTGCCCCAAATGGTCCCAGACCTTTTGTTCTTGATAATCAAGTTGGAGACAAAGTCCTTGGCTTCTTCGGAGATGCCCTCAAAAGCTTCCTCATCAAAATACCAGTTGGCTGCCAGGACGTTGTTGAGGGTTTCCGTGTCGTTGTCGCCCAGGAAAGGGGAGAGTCCGCTCAGCCTGAGAACAGGGTGGGGAGACGAGGAGAGAGAGCGTCAATCAAGGCTCGTTAGTGAAGGAAAACTCTCCTGGGGCTCAGAAATTTGGCGAAAGGAAGCGACTCCGGGGCCAGGAGCCTGGCTGCTCCAGAACACGCCGTGGCTACGTCAGAGCACAAAAAATCGGCTCACTGGGCCCATTTCAACCTCTCTCCACCGCAATCGACGCCGTGGGTGTTCTGCTGCAGTTCTGTTTCTGCCAAATACATTGCTGCTGCTGCCCCAGAGGTCAGGACCGCAACCGACAGATTCAAATTACAGCGGCACCTCTGGTTGCGAATGGGATCCGTTCCGGAGGCCTGTTCGCAACCTGAAAAGAACGCAACCCGCGTCTCCGTGGGTCGCGATTCGCCGCTTCTGCGCACGCACGTGGCGCCATTTTGCGTGTCTGTGCATACGTGAGCGGCGAGACCTGGAAGGAGCCCGTTCTGTTACTTCGGGGTCGCCGCAGGACGCAACCTGAAAACATTCAACCTGAAGCAAACGCTACAAGAGGTATGACTGTAGAAGAAAGGAGATTTCAACTAAACATCGGGAAGAACTTTCTGACAGCAAGAGCTGTTTGGCAGAGGAGGTTGTGGAATCTCCTGCCTTGGAGGTTTCTGAGCAAAGTTTGGAGGGCCGACTGTCAGTGATGCTTTGATTCCTGCATTGCATGGGGTTGGGCTGGATGACCCTCAGGGTCCCTCCATTCTGGCTCTTTGTTTTGCTATGTACAGTGGTACCTCGGGTTAAGTACTTGATTCATTCTGGAGGTCCATCCTTAACCTGAAACTGTTCTTAACCTGAAGCACCACTTTAGCTAATGGGGCCTCCTGCTACCGCTGCACCGCCGGAGTACAATTTCTGTTCTCATCCTGAAGCAAAGTTCTTAACCCGAGGTACTATTTCTGGGTTAGCGGAGTCTGTAACCTGAAGCGTATGTAACCTGAGGCATATGTAACCCAAGGTACCACTTTATTTTTGTTTTCTCATTTGGTGCTTTTATGTTTGTGAACTGCCCTCTGATCTCCAGATGAATGAGGGTATGCAAATTTAATAAATAAAATAAATGACAAATGCGGCAGCCAGACTGGTGACTGGGAGCGGCCGCCGGGACCACATAACACCCATCTTGAAAGACCTACATTGGCTCCCAGTACGTTTCCAAGCACAATTCAAAGTGTTGGTGCTGACCTTTAAAGCCCTAAACGGCCTCGGTCCAGTATACCTGAAGGAGCGTCTCCACCCCCATCGTTCTGCCCAGACACTGAGGTCCAGCTCTGAGGGCCTTCTGGCGGTTCCCTCACTGCGAGAAGCCAAGTTCCAGGGAACCAGGCAGAGGGCCTTCTCGGTGGTGGCACCCGCCCTGTGGAACGCCCTCCCTTCAGATGTGAAGGAAATAAACTGCTACAGTGGTACCTCATTTTGAGTCCGGGATCCGTTCCGGAGCCCCAGACGCTCGACAAAGCGCTGCTTTGTGCACGCGCGTGAGCGGTTTTGCGCTTCTGTGCAAGTGGCAAACCCGGAAGTAACCTGTTCCGGTACAGTGGTACCTCGGGTTAAGTACTTAATTCATTCCGGAGGTCCATTCTTAACCTGAAACTGTTCTTAACCTGAAGCACCACTTTAGCTAATGGGGCCTCTTGCTGCCGTTGCGCCGCCAGAGCATGATTTCTGTTCTCACCCTGAAGCAAAGTTCTAACGCAAGGTACTATTTCTGGGTTAGCGGAGTCTGTAACCTGAAGCGTATGTAACCTGAAGCATCTGTAACCCGAGGTACCACTGTTCTTCCGGGTTTGCTGCCGACGTTCCACGAAATGGACGCTAAACGGGGCGGACTCATAACGAGGTTCAGGGAAGTTTTTAATGTTTGATGTCTTATCATGTTTTTAATATTCTATTGTGAGCCACCCAGAGTGGCTGGAGAGACCCAGCCAGATGGGCAGGGTACAAATAATAAATTATTACTATTATTAAAGTGCCTGATTCCAAAGGCACCCCTTCCCCTCAACTCACAGCATGTAGGTGATCACCCCCATGCTCCACATATCCGTTGTGTAGGAGACTTGTTCGTAGCTGACCACCTCCGGAGACAGGAACTCGGGGGTGCCAAAGTTCACTTTCAGCTTCTCTCTGGGGTTGTACCTGGACGGTGAGAAAGAGAGAGAAGAATCTAGCACCATCAATGCACACAAACGCCTAGCCCATCCACCCCCCAGGAAGGTGGGCACCAGGAGCCTGCTCCCTTCGGGAAGGACTTTATCCTGTGCCCTCCCCTCGCCCGGTGCCCAGAAGAGGCACACAGCAGGGTCAGGAGTGTGGAAAGGGGAGAGGGGGCTGGCGCAGGCTGGCGATGCTCTGGGCCACGGGTCCCCAAACTAAGGTCCGTGGGCCGGATAAGGCCCGAGGGACTCGTTTATCCGGCCTGCGGCAACCCCCGCTGCCCGCTCTTACCGGCACGGCACTGCGCAGCTGCCCACATCCTGGTCGGAGGAGCACCGGAAATAGCTTGTGCACATGCGCAAGCGTTATTTGGGTTTTTTTCCAATTTTTTTATTGATTTTCCAAAATTTTAAACAAACATAAATCATAACTGAACTTGATCCAATCTTAGTAACATTGTTAAGTGACTTCCTCAAATCCCCCTAGCTGAATTTCAGTGTATATCATTGTAACAGTTTTCCAAAACCAATATTATTAACTTATTCACTTAACATCTTTCTTTTTTTTCATTTTAACTTTAAACATATTGTTCTCTAACATCACATATTTAAATACTAAGCCTATCTGTTACTTGCAAGTTTTCCAATTAAGTTATCTTAACGTATTTAAGTAAATAGTCTTTAAATTTCATCCATGCGCAAGCGTTATTTGCACATGCGCAAGCGTTATTTCCGGTGCACATCCGGGTCGGAGGAGGCCCCTGCACATGCGCACAAGCTATTTCCGGTGCTCCTCCGACCCGGAAGTGCGCCGGAAATAGCGTGTGCGCACGCGTATGGGCATGCGCTCCCTTGCCCTCCTGCCCCCCGCGCGATCGGCGCTGGAGACACCAGCCCGAGGCGCGGTAAGTTTGCTGACCCCTGCTCTGGGCATTACCTTCGGGCGAGTCCAAAATCAATTATCTTCACCATGTGGCCGGTCGAGGTCACACACAGGATGTTCTCCGGCTGCGGAGGGAGAGAAAAGAGAACACCCCCACCCCAAAACACCACCTCCGGTTAGTGACTTTGTGGGGAACCTGCAAATGATCCCCTTGAAATCTGGAAAGGTTTGGGGAAGATGGCAGGAAGGTCTCTCTGCCCCACAGAGAGGAACTAGATATCTTGTGTCTGGCGCAGCAGAGGAACTGGGCAGACCCACAGCTGTTTGATGCCCATCTCTTTTTTTGGCAGTGGTTACCAAAGTTGGTAGGGACGCGGGTGACGCTGTGGTCTAAACCACAGAGCCTAGGGCTTGCCGATCAGAAGGTCGGCAGTTCGAATCCCCGCGACGGGGTGAGCTCCCGTTGCTCGGTCCCTGCTCCTGCCAAACTAGCAGTTCAAAAGCACGTCAAAGTGCAAGTAGATAAATAGGTACCACTCCGGCGGGAAGGTAAACGGTGTTTCCGTGCACTGCTCTGGTTCGCCAGAAGCAGCTTAGTCATGCTGGCCACATGACCCGGAAGCTGTACGTCGGCTCCCTTGGCCAACAAAGCGAGATGAGCGCCGCAACCCCAGAGTTGTCCGTGACTGGACCTAACAGTCAGGGGTCCCTTTACCTTTACCTTACCAAAGTTGGTAGTAGGAGCCCCTGGGCGGCAGTGTGATTACATGGTGCGGAGGCCGCTAAGAGGCAAGGAGGCAGCAGGGAGTGTATAATTACCATATTTTTTGCTCTATAAGACTCACTTTTTCCCTCCTAAAAATTAAGGGGAAATGTGTGTGCGTCTTATGGAGCGAATGCAGGTTGCGCAGCTATCCCAGAAGCCAGAACAGCAAGAGGGATTGCTGCTTTCACTGCGCAGCGATCCCTCTTGCTGTTCTGGCTTCTGAGATTCAGAATATTTTTTTTCTTGTTTTCCTCCTCCAAAAACTAGGTGCGTCTTGTGGTCTGGTGCGCCTTATAGAGCGAAAAATACGGTGAATAAATAAATAATTTATACCCCACCTGACTCTGAAAAGTTGGTATCACTGGATCAGATATATCCATTTTGCTGAATTCAACTAAAAAGTTTTCATTGGAATTTGAATAAACGTGCCATTAATTGTTGTACTTTTGAATTTTATCTTCCTTAGTGGGTTATGCAAACTCTGAGTGATGCTTTTTATAAGGTCGCGTCGGAGCTACTGCAGACGCCTTTATGGAGCCAGTGTCCGGGAACCGCTGGTTTAGCCCCGAAGTTCTTGTGCCCCACAATAGCTTTGCCCCTCCTCCTCCTCCTCCTTCCCGATGGAGGGCAGAGATGTTCTCCTACCTTGAGGTCCAGGTGGAGAACACTCATGTGGTGCATGAAGAGGATCCCGTCGCAGATCTGGCGCACAAAGACCATGCAGTCCACCTCCGTCAGCTGGTAATCCTCGTCGATGATCCGCTCAAAGAGCTCGCCGCCCTCCACACTGCAACGCAGAAAAGGGGCTGCCTCAGACCCATCAGGTGAACCCCAAACCCCTCAGGGCCACAGCTGTCAACTTACAGATTTGAAAATAAGGGACCAGCGGCCTCGAAAACAAGGGATCAGCAGCCAAAATAAGGGATCAACAATTACTTTGATAAAATGCATATTTTGTTGCGTGCAAATGGCTTTAGATCCCCATTAGACCCATAAATTACCATATAGCATATATTCAACACAAAAAACCAGCAACAATTTGTTGTTGACAAAGCACAGCTGGACATAGAAAGGGCCCCATTACCTTCAGTAGCTTATTTAAGGGACATTATCAGTAAGTGACAGCAGCGAGACATGGCGCTGGGATAAGGGACTGTCCTGCCAAATAAGGGACGCTTGACAGCTATGCTCAGGGCAGTGCATTCTGGGTGCTACTCGTGCATGTGGGATTTTCCCAGCATCCATGTGACATCATCAAAAGGCCATCCCATATCCTCCCACATTTAGGTCCCATTTAGGCTGGTCACCACACCCATGAAACAAATGTCCTGACTGGAAGAATCCGCGACCAGAAAGAAGAGGAATATCAAGAAGACTGTAAGAAATTTAAGGACGATTTGAATAAATATTGTAATATAAATAATTAGAAGTCACTTGAAAGCGCCAAATAGGCCTAGGATTAATTTAGGATTTAATTAAGTAAGTTGGATTAAGAACAATAAGAAAAAGATAGTTAATTGCTGGAAATATTTTTAGTTTAAGAATGATATTGGAAAGCTGTTACATACAGACACAATGAAATTCAGAAGGGAGGGATCTGGGGAAGTCAATTAACAATGTAAATAAAATTGGGTTTTTAAGGGATATGGCACAAAATTGTTGTTTTGCTTTTGCTTTTTCAGTACTGTATTGTTTTTTGGGTATGTTTTTTTCTTCTTTTTATGTTATATAAACCGCCACCCTGCGAGATTTCTTCATCTCGCAGGGGGCCGACCTGGCCTGTGTGACGGAGACCTGGGTGCGCGAAGGGGTTACTGTTACCTTACGAGAGATGGCGCCCCCGGGTTTCTCCGTCCTCCACCAGTCGCGGACTGTGGGCCGGGGGGGAGGGGTGGCATTATTAATCCGGGATGATTGTTCTTTCAGGGCTCTACCATCGCCATCGATCCCTGGCATTGAATGTGTTGGCCTAGTGTGGGGCTCCGAGGTGAGCTTGGCTGTCTGGCTGGTGTACCGGCCACCTAGCGCACCAGCAGCCACCCTGTCAGGCCTGCTGGAGGCGGTGGCCGGCTGGGCCTTGGAGTTCCCTAACCTATTGGTATTGGGGGACTTCAACATCCATGCTGATGCCACTCCCTCCTCACAGGCTCTGGACCTGGTGTCTTCCATGGCGACACTAGGGCTCTCCCAGTTTGTTTCGGGCCCCACACATCAAGCAGGCCACACGCTGGATTTGATCTTTGGCGTCGGTATAGATGTGATCATGTTCCCTTCGATGAAGGTGCCATGGTCTGATCACTACGCTCTGAAAGCCAGGATTGACGTTCCACCCCCTCCCTGCTTGGGTGGCGAGCCGATTTGGGCTCGCCCGCGGAGGCTGATGGACCCTGATAGATTCCGTCAAGCCTTGCGGGACCTTGCTCCCCCTGGCGACTCATTGACTGAGCTTGTTGAGGGCTGGAATACCCAGCTCCTGGCAGCCATCAATGAGATCGCACCTAAGCGCCCTCTGCGTCCCCGCAGAAACCGGGCTCCCTGGTTTACCGAGGAGCTCCGGAATATGAAGCGGGACCTCAGACGGCTAGAGCGAGTATGGCGGAGTGCCCGTGACGGAGCTTCAAGAACATCCTATAGAGTTTTTATGAAAACCTATGAGATGGCAGTGAAGGCCGCTAAGAAGTCCTACTTCTCGGCCTCCATTGCATCCGCTAGCTCTCGCCCGGCGCAATTATTTAGTATAATTCAATCTTTAACGTCCCTCGAAGGACAGCCAAATTTAAATAACAATTGGACACACAGCTGTGAGGCATTTGCGAGCTTTTTTGCGGAGAAGGTCCTGTTGCTCCGCCATGACCTCCCCGCCAATTTCGATACAATAAAGGAACTGGAGGCCCCTCGACTGTCCTCGGGTCCAGTATTGGACCACTTTGACCGGATATCCCCAGCCGATGTGGACAGACTCCTCCGAGCTGGAAAGCCCACCACTTGTCCTCTCGACCCGTGCCCGTCCTGGCTGATTAGAGCGTGTCCAGACGAGGTGCGGGCCCCCCTGGGGGATATCATCAATCTGTCCCTAGGCACCGGGACATTCCCAGGGGAACTGAAGGAGGCGGTGGTGCGTCCGCTCTTAAAGAAAACATCATTAGATCCCTTAGATCTATCCAATTACCGCCCGGTCTCGAATCTTCCATTCCTGGGTAAGGTGATTGAGAGAGCGGTTGCTGAACAGCTTGGTAGGTTTCTGGATGAAACATCTGCTCTGGATCCATTCCAGTCCGGCTTCCGCGCTGGTCATGGGACCGAGACGGCTCTGGTCGCCCTAACAGATGATCTCCGCAGGCAGCTGGATCGAGGTGGGTCGGGGCTGCTGATTCTTCTAGATCTGTCAGCAGCCTTTGACATGGTCGATCATGAACTCCTGGACCACCGCCTTGCCGACGTGGGGATCCAGGGCACAGTCCTTCAATGGCTGCGCTCGTTTCTCTCTGGTCGGGGACAGAGGGTGGCGCTTGGGGGGGAATTGTCATCGCGCCACTCCTTGGTGTGTGGAGTGCCTCAGGGTGCGATTCTCTCCCCGATGCTTTTTAACATCTTTATGCGCCCCCTCGCCCAGCTTGTCCGGAGTTTTGGGCTGGGTTGCCATCAATATGCTGATGACACCCAACTCTATCTGTTGATGGATGGCCATCCTGACTCGGCCCCAGACACACTGACCAGATGCCTGGAAGCTGTGGCTGGATGGTTACGTGGGAGCCGGTTGAAGTTAAATCCTGCGAAGACAGAGGTCCTCTGGCTGGGGCGGGACGATATGGGATCGGGGGGACAACTCCCATCTCTTGCGGGGGTGCAATTGGTGCCAGCACCGTCCGTTAAGAGTCTGGGTGTAATCTTCGATACCTCCCTCTCTATGGAGGCGCAGATTACAGCTATAACAAAGGCGGCATTCTTTCATCTCCGCCAAGCTAAGCAGTTGGCCCCTTACCTCTCTCGCCCTGACCTAGCCACTGTGATCCATGCGACGGTCACCTCCAGACTGGATTATTGTAACTCGCTCTACGTGGGGCTGCCCTTGAGACTGACCCAGAAACTCCAGCGGGTACAGAATGCCGCAGCGAGACTCCTTACGGGGTCCTCGCTGCGAGATCACATTCACCCGGTGCTATACCACCTGCACTGGCTCCCGGTGGAGTATAGGATCAAGTTTAAGGTGCTGGTTTTAACCTTTAAAGCCCTATACGGCCTAGGACCCTCGTACCTACGGGACCGCCTCTCCTGGTATGCCCCACAGAGAAACCTACGGTCTGTAAATAAAAACATCCTCAAGGTCCCAGGCCTCAGAGAGGTTAGGCTGGCCTTAACTAGAGCCAGGGCCTTCTCGGCTGCGGCTCCAATCTGGTGGAATGCTCTGTCACAAGAGACTAGGGCCCTGCGGGACCTGACATCTTTCCGCAGGGCCTGCAAGACAGAGTTGTTCCACCAGGCCTTTGGTCAGGGCGCAGCCTGACCCCCTCCTCCGGCAACCTGCACAGTACTTTGGTTGCCATCAATTTGATTTTAATTAATTTTTTTTTTTTAATTTTTTAATGAAATATTTTAGAATGTGTGATTATTCAACTATTGGTTATTTGATTGTTGTTAGCCGCCCTGAGCCCAGCTTCGGCTGGGGAGGGCGGGATATAAATAAAATTTATTATTATTATTATTATTATATTTGTTATAATTGTGGAAAATTTAATATTTTTTTTTGGGAAAGAAACAAATGTCCTCATTTGAATGAATCAGTGCCGTTTTTGCTAAACTTGTGCCAGAGTTTGCTTTTCTCCTCCTCCCTCCGCATTCGTTTTTCCTCGTGTGCCGTGTCTTTTCAAACTGCAGGCCCGAGCGCGGCGATTGCCCGAGGACCGAGAGCCTGCCTTGCAACTCCATGACTCACAACTCCATGAAGAGCATGATGTCCTTTGGAGTCTCGATGGCGTCATATAGCTGGATCAGGTTCCGGTGGTTCAGCTGATTCATCACGTCGATTTCCACCTCGGCCGCTTCCTAGAGGGGCAAAAGCTGGTCAGCGTGGAACGGAGGCTGGCTAGGGGAGCCTTTGCCAGGCTGGTACCCTCCAGGCATTTTGAACCACAACTCCCATCAGCCCCCGCCAATGTCACAGTTTTGCACCACAGCTTCCACCAGCTGAGATGGACAGCGGTTGCAGTACAAAAACTAGGAAGGGCACCAGGTTGGCAAAGAATGGGCTTCAGGCGAGACGCTTCTGCCATGCTGCCACCTATGCGCAGACCAACTAACCAACTAACATGCCCTGTCAGTGCAAGGATTTATTCTTGCACAACAGAGTTTCCCCTCTCTCCCCCCCAAACCTTTTCTAGGGGTTCCCCAACCCTCCCGATGTGATGACCTGGGACTCGGACTCAGAACCAGAGGAGTCTCAGTCCACACCGGATCCTCTGCCTCAGGCAGCAGCTGAGCCAAGTCTGGGGCCTGATCCTGAAGAGTCCCAGTCTGCACAGGTTCCCTGCACCAGCTGGGCTGAGTCCGGGGCCTGAGCCTGCCCTGGCTCCAGATGCGGGGATGACCTCTGTTATGTTCTGAGTTGAATAGGATCCAAAAGGCAGCAGTTTGATTGGTCCCAGAACAATAGGATTCAGAATGCAGCAGTCTGATTGGTCCTAGGACAATAGAGTCCAGAATGCAGCAGTCTGATTGGTCCACAGGAGCCACCCAATCCAGCTCCAGGTGGAAGTGAATCCGCAACCTGATTGGCCTACAGGAGAATTACGGAATTAGCCATTCACGTCGGGCCCATTGTGTAAATAATGTATATAAGGCAGACATTCTGGGGGAACTTCCATTCCTCCTCACCACTATGAGCTGAATAAAGAGCATGAAATCCACTCTCAACTCCGAGTATATTATTTGAACCTCATTGCCTCCAGCTGGGCCATCACTTACAGCTGCTCCACTACCAGTTGGGTCAGGAGAGGCTGAGGCAGTAACCCACCGACGTCTCCAGAGCTGCAGAGACTGAGGTCTGAGAGAAGGAGAGACCTGAGTACTTGCAGGAGGAGTGCTCGCCTTAGGGCGAAACAGGGAGGTGAGTCGCCGGGGGATCAGGACCGGCCGTTACCCCGACAGAGATAAAAGGCTGTTGGACCCCACCCCAGGTTGCGGGAGCAACGTTGCTGTTTGCTAGAACCTGCCTGACCTAGCCTGGTTTCCTGCCTTGGCCCTGTCAGACGGACGCCTCGTGGAATCCCTGGATTCGGGATCAGACCTGGACCGCGTTGCTCGGGTTAACCCCCGGGCCCAGCACACCGGATCAGATTTGGGAAATGCCCAGGGCGTGAGGAGGAGTAGGGGAGGCTCTGTTGCACAAGCGCTGACAAAACACCTTTTAGTAAATTTGCACTGTTCTTACATTATTTTGCACGTCCGTCGCTTTGGTCCTCATTTCAGCAGGACGAAATGATGAATGAGTTTCACAAACCTGAACTAAACTTAGCAGGGCAGCCGTGCAGGAATACCCGGCACAAAGACCGGTGCAGAAAAGGTGTTGTGCGCATTGCTACATGTTGCACCTACCCTGTCTTTCGGCCCCTGCTTCTTAATAATTTTCACGGCCAGCTTGAGGCCCGTCTCCTTCACTGCACATGTACGGACTTCTCCAAACTTCCCCCTGTGGAGGGAAAGAGAAAGGCAGCCCCTGAGAATTATGAATTCTTTCCAAAGTTCCTCCAAAGCACTAAAAAGCTCACTTTTCCCATGAAGCCTCATTCCCAACAGTAACAAACGTTTAGGAACGGATGACGTTTATCCCTTCCTCCTCAACTCCACTTCCCCCTTTCTGTTTCACCACCACCACCAATTATCTTTCTGGATTGTAAACTCCTTGCGGCAAAGACCCTTTTGCCTTTCAGGCACTGTGTGCAATGATGGCTTGGTAACAACAAACCTCTCATTACAGTTCTTTCTAATAATAATAATAATATTTTAATTTATACACCGCCCATCTCGCTGGGTTTCCCCAGCCGCTCTGGGCAGCTTACAACACGTATAAAAACATAACAATGGATCAAACATCAAGAAACAAAATATCCTGTACAAGCAACAAACCAACCAATAAATCAATAGAAACCAACAACAATAATAACAATAATAAGCAGTTTACAATCATTCCCAAATTATAATAACCACCAACCCCAACTAAACATTTAATCAACATCAGCCCGACAAAAACAAAACAGAGAAACCAAATTGAGAACCGTTTAAAACATTTAAAAACATTTCAGCCGGTTGCCCAACCCAAGAGTGCATGCATGAGAAAGTAATGGGGATTTCTAGATCTGAATGATGAATGACCGGACTTCTAGATTTGATGGTGTTGTGAATCATAGAATTGGAAGGGACCTGAGGATCATCTAGTCCAACCCCCTGAAATGCAGGATTATGCAGCTGCCCCATATGGGGATCGAACCCGCAACCTTGGCCTTATCAACACACTGCTCTAACCAACTGAGCTAAGTGTTCCTTTAAGGCAGGGGTCAGCAACCTTTTTCAGCCATGAGCCGGTCCACCGTCCCTCAGACCATGGGGTGGGCTGGGCTCTATTTTGAAGAAGAAAAAAATAAGAACGAATTCCGATGCCCCACAAATAACCCAGAGATGCATTTTAAATAAAAGGACACATTCTACTCATGTGAAAACACACTGATTCCTGGACCATCTGTGGGCCGGATTAAGAAGGCGATTGGGCCGGATCCGGCCCCCGGGCCTTAGGTTGCCTACCCCTGCTTTAAGGCAATACTTTATTGGTCTGTTGCTTACTGATTGCTTGAGAGGGTTTGGCTTGCAGCTGGGTGGGTGTGTTTTCTTCAATATTCTGCACTTTCTAAAACATTGCAGCATTCTTTCTTTCATTTACAAATGCCAATCTTACTGCTGCATTTTCTTTTACGTGCATGCTTTCGAAAATAATATCCGTATCGCAGAAAACCGTCAGGAAATTGGAAACAGTCACAATTATTGTGGGATGTGATACATAAGTAGCATTCAAGTACGACATTCCTTGTTTTCCTAGAGTGGACATGCAGGGGAATGTTTGGTCCAGCCAGTTGAAAACTTCCTGTTTCCTCCTGGGCTGGGACATCCTTCCTTTGCATGTGTCTAGAGGTGGGCGTGACCTTACCTGCCCAGGTAACAAAAGGGACAGGGCACGCAGCACCATCTCTCTCTTTGGCTTCCTCCATTGTTGGAGCATCTCACAGATCCACACGTATATACTTTGTAACTAAGTCTGCCTTCAGGGATCCAACTGTGAGCTGATGATGTGAGTAAACTTATTTTATATATAATCATACCTCGGGTTACAGCAGCTTCAAGGTTGTGTTTTTTCGGGTTATGGACCACTGAAACCTGGAAGTACCAGAACAGGTTACTTCCGGGTTTCAGTGGCTGTGCATGCACAGAAGCACTAAATTGCACTTTGCGCATGCACAGAAGCGCCAAATCACAACGCACGTGTGCGCAGACGCGGGTTGTGAACGTGCATCCCGCATGGATCATGTTCGCAACCCGAGCGTCCACTGTACTTTAAGCAAGATTGTGGCATGTTTATTCCTTTAAGAGGGATATAAGGGAACTTACCAGGAACCCAATATTGAGAGGCTTAAACAAGCCTGCAGCCAGCTATCTGCTCTGCATTTATAAAGGGGAATGTAAAACTCTGCTAAGTTATAGAACTTGCTAGCGCAAGTTAGGAAGGATATTAATAAACAAAATATCCTCTCCTGCCACCCTGAACATTCCACAATTATGTCACTGGAAGAGCGAATAATTTGGCACCCTCTTCCTCCCACCCCCCTGCCGCCAGGCCTCACCCTCCCAGCATCTCCTTGGTGTTGATGCTGTAGGTGTCTTTGAACTCCGCCGTTCTCAACTGGACAATGCGATGGGTGAAGGGAGCAGGTGGAGGAGGAGTGTCATCTGGAAGAGAGAGGCAGGGGTTAAAACAAAAGAAAAACCACTGGGCTCATTCATTCGTCCACCTGGTGCTCCCACCCTGCAGCCACCTCTCCTCCGTGGCTCCTAGAAGCTGTCTCAATAAACACACAAGACGTAACCGGCTAAGGTATACTATTCACTGTATCAAATTGTAGATTTCAACGGAAGTCTCATAAAGTTCAACAGAAAAAATCCCAGTCGATCAGTTCATTCTCTAGTAAGTTCATGTATAAGTGTCTATTCCACCTGTCTGTTCAAAGAGTCCAATAATCCAGATGAAGAGTTGTTACAGTTCCACAGAATCCTTTCACGGAGTCTAAGACAAGGATTTCTGGAATATTAGCCTTGTTTCACCATCCTAGGGTTCATCAGTAGAACAGGCTCATATACTATGCTATAAGATCCACTATCCTGTAATATAGCTGCCTTGTGGCTATACTCATTCATGAGAAAGGCTTTGAAAGTACAAAAAAGAGAAGGCTTTTTGTTAGGAACTGTACTATGTACTAAGCTGTTGGAGTATGCAGAGATGGCAAGAATGACCAGGAAAATTAGAAACCAAAAGGATCAAAACTTCAATAAAGAATAGGGGAAATTTATATTATACTTGAGAGACAACATTTGAACTCTTTAGCAGGTTTGAAATAACTCCTGTAATATGTGCATGCACACAAAAGCTCATACCAATAACAAACTTATTTTTGTCCAGGTGCTACAGGAAGGAATTTTTTTGTTTGTTTGTTTCTTGTAATGTTACATAGACTTTGGACACAACGGAGAACTGAAAAGCTAGAGTGATTTACAATATGCAGTTGAAAAAGTTAACTAAAGAACCCATGGAGGGGAGGAGGGAAATCTAAAGATACGGAAGAATCTTCTTGTAATTTTTTTCATTTGTGATATTGAATGTGAATAAATTTGTAAAACCAAAAAAAATTATTATTATTTTAATGAAAGTAAGCCCCAAGGAAAATCTGTACCCGCTGCCTTGTGGGACATTTTCGGAAGAAAGAAAGGTTAAGGAAACCCTACACAAATCCACAGGCTGCTTGGCTGCTCCTTCCTGCAACTCCTGCAGCCAAACATCTTGCTCTGCTTTGCTTAGTGCAACATCGGTGGGGCTGAGAGGGGGAGCGGATCTTGTCCTCTGGGCAGTCCAGGACCTCCACACACCCTGGCCAGGCTTGTGCCCCTCCCGGGGGGGGGGGAGGTCACTTCAGTGCTGCAAACGCAGCCCAGCCGCTGGTGGAAATTGCCATGGCCAGGATTCACAGCTGATGGTGACAATTCTGTATGCAGCAGTGCTTCCCCAAGGCATGTGCAGAGGGCGACCCCTACTGGCGAAATAGGGATGGTGCGTCTGGGCAGCAGCCTTGCCAAGTTGCAATAATAATAATAATAATAATAATAATAATAATAATAATAATAACAACAACAACAACAACAACAACAACAACAACAACAACAACAATAATAATTTATTTTATTTATACCCCACCCTCCCCAGCCAGGACCAGGCTCAGGGCAGCTAACACCAGGTAAAAAACAATTGATTAAAATACAACTTAAAAACAAGATTAAAATACAACATTAAAATGCAGCCTCATTTCAGTGGAACTGAATCAAAAACTTTTTGGAGATGAAAACGTCAAATCTTCACCAAGGCCAACTATCCAGGCCAGAAAAAAGCCAGGGAAGTCCCCAAATAGGAGTTCCATCACAGAAGGAGAAAGGAAAAGGAAAGAGGGGATCAAGTTGATTCCAAGCCAAAGGCCAGGTGGAACAACTCTGTCTTACAGGCCCTGCGGAAAGAAATCAGACCCCGCAGGGCCCTGGTCTCATGAGGCAGAGTGTTCCACCAGGCCGGGGCCAGTGTTGAAAAGGCCCTGGTTCTGGTTGAGGCTAGTCTGGCTTCCTTAGGGACCTCTAGGGTGTTGCTATTTATGGACCTTAAGGTCCTCCGCGGGGCGTATTGGGAGAAGCAGTCCCGTAGGTACGGGGGTCCTAGGCCGTAAAGGGCTTTAAAGGGGTTTCATCTTTGCTCCACGATGTATCCAGGCTGGGGCCAAAACCATCTTGGACTTTCCTTCCTCAGAGTTCTTTAAGCCAGGAATAGCAAACTTGGCCCCCCAGATGTTTTGGGACTACAATTCCCATCATCCCTAGATAACAGGACCAGTGGCAGGATAGTACACACTCTTTCAGCTTCTGCCTTCTGGAAGAAGGTACAGGGTTATAAAGACTAGGACTAAAGGCCTGAGAAACAGCTTTTATCCAAATGCGATTTTGGTTTTAAACGCAGTGTAAGGTAGTCTCTAGAGGGACGTGGGTGGCGCTGTCGGTTAACCACAGTGCCTAGGGCTTGCCAATCAGAAGGTCGGCGGTTTGAATCCCCGCGACGGGGTGAGCTCCTGTTGTTCGGTCCCTGATCCTGCCAACCTAGCAGTTCAACAGCACGTCAAAGTGCAAGTAGATCAATAGGTACCGCTCCGGTGGGAAGATAAACGGCATTTCTGTGCGCTGCTCTGGTTCGCCAGAAGCGGCTTAGTCATGCTGGCCACATGACCCAGAAGCTGTGGCCGAGGGAGCTGGCGTACAGCTTCCAGGTCATGTGGCCAGCATGACTAAGCCGCTTCTAGCGAACCAGAGCAGCGCACGGAAACACCGTTTACCTTCCCGCCGGAGCGGTACCTATTTATCTATTTGCACTTTGACATGCTTTCGAACTACTAGGTGGGCAGGAGCAGGGACTGAACAATGGGAGCTCACCCCATCACGGGGATTCGAACCGCCGACCCTCTGATCGGCAAGTCCTAAGCTCTGTGGTTTAACCCACAGCGCCACCCGCGTCCCCAGTGCCGGATTTACGTATAAGCTAAACAAGCTATAGCTTAGGGCCGCACTCCCTTGGCCCCCCAAAAATTTAAAGAAAAAAAACCTGGATGTACATTTCCAAAATAAAAGATAAAAAACAAACAAAAAACCTACATACAGCAACAGTGTTTTGTGTTGTGTAGGCTCCTACGATGTAAGTAATGGGCCCCCAATCATTTTATGTTAAGGTTCATAATTATTTCACTATTAATATACTTCTTCTTAATTGTATTTCAGTTCAACAGTTACTTTGATAAAATACATATTTTGTTATGTGTAAATGGCTTTAGATACCTATTAGGCCCATAAATTACCATAGAACATATATTCAACACAAAAAAACCAGCGGCAATTTGTTGTTGGCAAAGCACAGCTGGACATATAAAGGGCCCCATTACCTTCAGTAGCTGAGGGCCTCATCCAACCTAAATCTGGCCCTGCCACTGGCCCACTTAGTTCAATATTATCTCCACCAGGCATGGGCAGAAGGTAGGTTGGGATTTACTGGTCAATATCTGCATCATACTAGATCTACGTTCTCCAACCTTGGGTCCTCAGACATTTGTGGAACTACAACTCCCATCATCCCCAGCCAATTCGGCAAATGGCCAAGGACTATGGGACTTGTAGTCCAACAACATCTCGGTAACCCAAAGTGCAGAATACTGTACTAACCAACCGTCAATTTTCATTTCCCAGGTTGTTAAACAACAGCAACAGCATCCCTCACAGCTGCCTGCCCTCCCCTGCCAAAGCAAAGAAACTCTGGGGGCAAATTAGGAATTAATTTTGTGTGAGAAAGGACTGAGGGTTCAGTTCTAGTGCCACAAACTAATTCCTGGGCTGAAAATGTGCTCGGATGCACTCTGCTCCTTTATCCTAGGTGTCCGTCTGTTATCAGTTCAAAGGCAATATTTTGCACTTACTGGTGGAGCTCAGAAGTTCTAGCTAAAGGTTAAGGTAAAGGGACCCCTGACCATTAGGTCCAGTCGTGGCTGACTCTGGGGTTGCAGCGCTCATCTCGCTTTACTGGCCGAGGGAGCCGGCATACAGCTTCCGGGTCATGTGGCCAGCATGACTAAGCCGCTTCTGGCGAACCAGAGCAGCGCACGGAAATGCTGTTTACCTTCCCGCTGGAGTGGTACCTATTTATCTACTTGCACTTTGACGTGCTTTCGAACTGCTAGGTTGGCAGGAGCAGGGACCGAGCAACGGGAGCTCACCCCGTCGCGGGGATTCGAACCACCGACCTTCTGATCGGATCATGCAAGCTTGAAGTCAGTCCATTTCAGATCTATCCTGCCTTGCAATGGCTCTCCAGGGTCTCCAACAGAGAGGTTGTCCCAGGCCTTCCTGGAGACGCCAGGGAGTGCGGCCTTCTGCGCATGTCCCATCACTAAGTTTTGACTCATCCCTGAGACACTGGCCTCACAGCACATCCTGGATCAGGTCCCGAGGTCTCCATGAGAAAGAAAGGAGGAGGGGAAAACACAGCACTGTCTGCCTGAACTCCCCTGCACTTTCATTGGGCCTTCAGACATTTCTTTTCATAAGGACCAGAAACTTGAGATTCCGTTGTTTCTTTTGACTTGAAGATTGAAGATTCTGCAGATCCTGCCCTTGGCACACGAAAACTGCAGGTGCCTAGCGAATGCTCAGCTCAGGACAAAACCCACCTGGTGATCACTCCCCAACAGACAACACACAATCGTCCTCCCCTTCCATTGCTGCCCTGCCAACCCGCCTCTGCCCCTTAACCTCACCCACTTGCCACATTTTGCCTTGCACACACCCCACACTCCCTCCCTCCCAACCCCACTGCAAGGTCACCCGGCCACAAGACACGCTGTCCCATCTGTCACAGCGGGGAGAGCGATCACAACAACACCTGGTGCCGCGATGCGCCCCGGTCCCTCGCCCTGCCAGCCTGCTTATCTCATGGAAAGGAGCTTTTCTCCACATGCCAGAGAGGGAGTCGAGGGAGGGAGGGAGGAAGGCAGCGCATGCCAGGTGGATCAGGGCACAGGGCAAACTTTCCTCCTGCCCTGCAATCTCCAAGCTCTGGGGCTCAGCAAAACCGCAGCCAAAGGCACCAGGAGATCCTATGAAGCCGTGGTGGTCAGCAACAGCGCAACCCTGGACCAAACGAGGGCCACATGTTGGGCAAACAGGGAGCTGAAGCATCCTACCAGTTGATGCCAGTTTTAATCCATTTTAGTATGGGTCCTAAACGGCCTCGGTCCAGTATACCTGAAGGAGCGTCCCACCCCCATCGTTCTGCCCGGACACTGAGGTCCAGCGCCAAGGACCTTCTGGCGGTTCCCTCACTGCGAGAAGCCAAGTTACAGGGAACCAGGCAGAAGGCCTTCTTGGTGGTGGCGCCCGCCTTGTGGAACACCCTCCCACCAGATGTCAAAGAGAACAACTACCTGACTTTTAGAAGACATCTGAAGGCAGCCCTGTTTAGGGAAGTTTTTAATGTTTAACAGATTACTGTATTTGAATACTTTGTTGGAAGCTGCCCAGAGTGGCTGGGGTATAAATAAATTATTATTATTATTATTATTATTATTATTATTATTATTACCTGTGCAAAGTGCTTTGTTTTCAAGCAACAGACTGCTGCAGGGAACCAGGACGGTGCTGAAAAGGAATCCCTTTGCACAACCAGGGCCGGCCCATCCATTTGGCAGGCTGAAGAAGCAGCCTTGTGGGCAGTGGCGTAGCGTGGGGGGTGCAGGGGGGGCCGGCCGCACCGGGCGCAACATCTGGGGGTTAGGCAAATCCACGGGTTAGGGGGTGCAAATTACTTGTCTTGCCCCGGGTGCTGACAACCCACGCTACGCCACTGCTTGTGGGGGGGGTGAAATCCCACAGGGTGGCCCCCACCTGCAGCACTCCACCCGCCTCTAGAGTCATGTGGCGACAGTTTCTATGAAATCTCTCCAGAAGAAGCCACCGAACGACCCCAGTAAGTGAGACTTCGGCGGGCAGAGGCGGCACCTTCCTGTTTCGCCTCAGGCGGCAAAACGGGATGAGCTGCTCCTGTCCTCCACCTTAGGGAAAGGCACCATGTGCTTCAATCTCTGAGGGATGTAGTCAGAACACTTTCAGCGACAACCTGTTTCCTGCAGCTGATGTCTGTTATAGCGCCAGTAGAGAAAACATGCCTGATGTTTGCATTCCTTCCCTGCTCTGTCCCACCCTCTCCCTGAGATGAAGCCAGGCACAGCCTAAAGCAGGGGTCCCCAAACTAAGGCCCGCAGGCCGGAAAAGGCCCGAGGAACTCGTTTATCCGGCCCGCGGCGACCCCCGCCACCCGCTGCCAACACCCACTCTTACTGGTGCTGCGCTGCTGCCCACTTCTGGGTCGGAGGAGCACTGGAAATAGCTTGTGTGCATGCGCAAGCGTGATTTGCGCATGCGCAAGCGTGATTTCCGGTGCACATTGGTCGGAGGAGGCCTGTGCACATGCACACAAGCTATTTCTGGTGCTTCTCCGACCCGGAAGTGCACCGGAAATAGTGTATGCGCACGTGTATGGGCATGCGCTCCAATGCCCGCCGTGCGATTGGCGCTGGAGACACCGGCCCGAGGCGCGGTAAGTTTGCTGACCCCTGGGCCTAAAGGATGAACAACTTATATTTCCTTCCTTCCTATAATATAATTAAGACAATTATAGGATAGAAAACATAGGAAGATGGAAAGGAATTGCTGAAACGATTAATAGAAGTGGAATACAAAAAGGGAGGTGTGAGGAGGTCGTGGAAATTAGTGAAAGAAAGATACGATATTGAAATTGGACTGTGTTTTAAATGGTTTTTGTTTTGTTTTGTTAGTTGTATGTTAGTGTTTTGCAGTTGTTGTTTTTCTTTTTTGTATTGTATTGTATTATTGTATGTTTTTTCTTTTTTGGTTTTTTGTAGTGTTGTGTTCAATTTGTTGTAAAACTAATAAATTATATATATATATATATATATTTGCTTTCGTAGATTTTCACGGGTACAGGAATGCAGGTTTTGGTGTCCTCGGGTGTCTTCCCGTGTAAAAGTTGGGGTGTCTAGGCGACGTTTCGACGAGGTCTCACTCGTCATCTTCAGGCTGGTGCTTTCGGCTTCTTGTTACTGGAACAGAGCAGGATCTCAGTGTTTGAGTTCCTATAAATACTGTTGAGGGGGTGTGGTGTATAGCCTCCAATGTTCTGGGCAGAGAGGAAGTTCCCAGGCTAGTGTGCCTTTTCTTCTTTTGTTCCTTAATTACTTGAGGGATATCTTGAGTGATTTCTTGAGTGATATTCTGAGTACCACTTAGGTGGGTCATTAGGTGTGGATTAGTTGCTAAAGCCTTCGTGTCTTGACCTCTTGAACTTTGTGAAGAGTTTTTCTGAGAAGATGGCTGTACTGCACTTAGTTGTGCTCTGGCTTGGCTTCGTGTATAGGGGCGAGCTGTGGTTTTGTGTCCTGTGCCAGCCAGATCTGTGTAGGGATTGCAGGGGGGTGCAGCATTCGGAGGTGTCACCATGGTTTGGCTACTGGATGGTGTCTGTAATTTATCTGTGGAGAGGGTCTGGGTTTGGGTCTGGTGTGGTTGATTGGTGATGGCGTTCTGTGTGCCTCTGGATCTGGTGTCGGTTTTTGTGGGGAGGGCTAATTTCCAGATGTCTGGCAGGCGGGATGTGTCGTCACGCTTGTTCATGTTGTGAGGGTGTTTCTCTATCTCGATGGCTTCCATGATTATTCTCTTGTGGTGATGTTCCATGTTAATTTGGAATCTGCAAAATTAATTTCGTGTCCTGTTTCTTTCATGTGTTGGAAAAGAGAGGAAGTTTTTTCTTCTTTTTTGACGGCATTCTTGTGTTCTGCGATACGTGCATTTATTCGTCTGTTTGTTTGTCCAATGTACGTGGCTGGGCAGACTTTGCAGGGTATTTCATAGACCCCTTGGTTTTCCAACTGGATTTTATCCTTGGGGTTTCTGAGGATATTGGCTATATTGGCTAACTTCCTCTCTTTTCCAACACATGAAAGAAACAGGACACGAAATTAATTTTGCAGATTCCAAATTGCTCTTTAACATGGAACATCACCACAAGAGAATAATCATGGAAGCCATCGAGATAGAGAAACACCCTCACAACATGAACAAGCGTGACGACACATCCCGCCTGCCAGACATCTGGAAATTAGCCCTCCCCACAAAAACCGACACCAGATCCAGAGGCACACAGAACGCCATCACCAATCAACCACACCAGACCCAAACCCAGACCCTCTCCACAGATAAATTACAGACACCATCCAGTAGCCAAACCATGGTGACACCTCCGGATGCTGCACCCCCCTGCAATCCCTACACAGATCTGGCTGGCACAGGACACAAAACCACAGCTCGCCCCTATACACGAAGCCAAGCCAGAGCACAACTAAGTGCAGTACAGCCATCTTCTCAGAAAAACTCTTCACAAAGTTCAAGAGGTCAAGACACGAAGGCTTTAGCAACTAATCCACACCTAATGACCCACCTAAGTGGTACTCAGAATATCACTCAAGAAATCACTCAAGATATCCCTCAAGTAATTAAGGAACAAAAGAAGAAAAGGCACACTAGCCTGGGAACTTCCTCTCTGCCCAGAACATTGGAGGCTATACACCACACCCCCTCAACAGTATTTATAGGAACTCAAACACTGAGATCCTGCTCTGTTCCAGTAACAAGAAGCCGAAAGCACCAGCCTGAAGATGACGAGTGAGACCTCGTCGAAACGTCGCCTAGACACCCCAACTTTTACACGGGAAGACACCCGAGGACACCAAAACCTGCATATATATATATATATATATATATATATATATATATATATCCTTCCTTCCTTTTTTTAAAAAGAGAGCTGTTCTGGCCGCCTGCCCCTCACTCCTATTCCCTCTGTCTGGACCAGGCTCGTTCAGCTGGCTCCGCAAAGCCAGAGGCCTCGATGGCCTTACCCAAAATCAGGGACGGGTCCTCTTTGCCAAAGTCCGGAGTGAGGTATGGGCTGGTTGGGGTATCCGGAACCTCTGCAGGGGTTGCCGCGGTCTCACTTCCTTCCGACGGCGGCTGCGCTGCGGAAACACTGGGCTCACCAGCATCCTGAGTTGTGGCCCCTGGGGCTAAGGGAGCGGGTTCGGCCAAGGTCCTTTCTCCTTGATCCGCTGGGCCCAGTTGCTCTGCCGCCGCTGGGGTTTGCGCCGAATCAGGGGGGGCCTCCTTGGCTTCCCCAGGGGGTGGCGGGTCTGCTTTGTGGGTGGGAGCCGCCGGTTCCTGAGGAGTCGGCTCCTTGAGGTCAGCCGGAGCCTCTTCCGGAATATCTGCTAGGCTGAAATGTCAGAAGAGGAGAACATCAAAGGAGAAGCTGCTATAGCATCTGGCCCTATCTAGTCCAGCCTCCTGTGCTCACTTTGGCCAACATAGATGCCCATTATGGGATGCCCACAAGCAGGATTCGAACACAAGACCCCTCTCCCATCCTGCGGTTTCCAGGAACTGGGATTCAAAAACATTTGCTGCCTCCGATTGTGGATGCAGAGCACAGCCAGCATGGCTAACAGGCTTCGAAAGCCCTCTCCTCCTCCTCCTCCTATTATTATTATTATTATTAATTATTATTATTATTATTATTATTATTATTATTATTATTATTATTATTATAATTTTTAGTGTTACATACAATGTTAGGTTAGGAAGAAAAGGGTGAAAGAGGGGGAGGGGTGGTGGTGAGTGGTGTGGGGTGGCAATGCTTCTATTACTCTACTTCACGTATGTGTACGGTTTTGTGTCAGCGTCACTTGAGTGGGTTCTCTTTACTATTCTTGTTGCTGTCTTGTTGGGCTGTGTATGTGATAAAGGGGAACCAAACCGGGGTGAAGGCGTCTTCTTCTATTTGCCCCCGTGTCGGTTTCAGTTTGTTGGTTAGTTTAATAATAATAATAATAATAATAATAATAATAATAATAATAATAATTTTATTTCTACCCCACCTTCCTGGCCAGAGCTGGGCTCAGGGCGACCAATAAACACCAATAAAATCACAGTAAAAACATTATAGGGGGGAAGGGGGGGAGGAAAAGGGGGGAACCAATTTAAAATACAGGTTAAAATGCAATTTAAAATGCAGCCTCATTTTAAAAGTAGCCCATAGATCAAAACCATAAGGGGAGGGAAACATAAGGGTCAGACTGAGTCCAAACCAAAGGCCAGGCAGAACAGCTCTGTCTTGCAGGCCCTGCGGAAAGATGTCAAGTCCTGCAGGGCCCTGGTCTCATGGGACAGAGCGTTCCACCAAGTCGGGGCCAGTGCTGAAAAGGCCCTGGCCCTAGTTGAAACCATTCTAACCTCCTTGCGACCTGGGACCTCCAAGGTGTTGTCATTTGTGGACCTTAAGGACAAAGGAGGAATGTGGAAACTGAAATCACTTAAAAGTTAAATGAAATCAAATAGACCTTTGGTGCTTTTATTTTTTGCAGATAAAGTCGCTCAGATTCGAGAAGAGGTAGACTCCACCGTGGGAGCAGGGCTGGGGCGGGAGAGTGCTATTGTCCTGTCTAGTCAAGTTGTGTGGGATCAATTCCAATCTGTTACCCCCGAGGACGTGGACAGGCTGCTTGGATGAGTGAAACCAACCACTTGTCTCCTTGATCCTTGCCCATCCTGGCTTATAAAAGCTAGCAGTGGGGTGGTGAATGCTTCCCTCCATGAGGGAGCCTTCCCAGACCCGCTGAAAGAGGTGGTTATTAAACCGCTTCTTAAAAAAACATCTTTAGATGCGGCCACGATGGCCAAATATCGCCCAGGTTCAAATCTTCCATTCTTGGGCAAGGTGATTGAGTGAGTGGTTGCTGAACAACTCCAGGCACGCCTGGAAGAAGCGGACCATTTGGATCCCTTCCAGTCGGGATCATGGGACTGAAACTGCCTTGGTCGCACTGGTCGATGATCTCCAGCAGGCTAGGGACAAAGGTGAGAGTTGTTTCCTGGTTCTGCTGGATCTCTCAGCGGCTTTTGACACCATCGACCATAACACCCTTCTGGACCGTCTTGAGGGGCTGGGAGCTGGGGGCACTGTTATACAGTGATTCTGCTCCATCCTCCGGGGCCGTGTTCAGAAAGTGGTGGTGGGGGATGAGTGTTCAGACCCCTGGGCTCTCACTTGTGGGGTGCCTCAGGGTTCTGTCCTCTCCCCCATGCTTTTCAACATCTACATGCAGCCGCTGGGAGAGATCAACAGGGGGTTTGGGCTGGGTGTTCATCAGTATGCGGATGATACCCAGCTCTACCTCTCTTTCAAATCAGAACCAGTGAAGGCGGTGAAAGTCCTTTGTGAGTGCCTGGAGGTGGTTGGAGGATGAATGGCAGCTAACAGATTGAGGTTGAATCCTGACAAGACAGAAGTACTGTTTTTGGGGAACAGGAGGTGGGCAGGTGTGGAGGATTCCCTGGTCCTGAATGGGGTAACTGTGCCCCTGAAGGACCAGGTGCGCAGCCTGGGAGTCATTTTGGACGCACAACTGTCCATGGAGGCGCAGGTCAATTCTGTGTCCAGGGCAGCTGTCTACCAGCTCCATCTGGTACACAGGATGAGACCCTACCTGCCCACAGACTGTCTTGCCAGAGTGGTGCATGCTCTGGTTATCTCCCACTTGGACTACTGCAATGCACTCTATGTGGGGCTACCTTTGAAGGTGACCTGGAAACTACAACTAATCCAGAATGCGGCAGCTAGACTGGTGACTGGGAGCGGCCGCCGAGACCACATAACACCGGTCCTGAAAGACCTACCCTGGCTCCCAGTACGTTTCTGGGCACAATTCAAAGTGTTGGTGCTGACCTTGAAAGCCTTAAACGGCCTCGGTCCAGTATACCTGAAGGAGCGCCTCCATTGCTATCGTTCTGCCCGGACACTGAGGTCCAGCGCCGAGGGCCTTCTGGTGGTTCCCTCGCTGCAAGAAGCCAAGTTACAGGGAACCAGACAGAGAGCCTTCTCAGTAGATGCGCCCTCCTGTGGAACGCCCTCCCATCAGATGTCAAAGAGAAGAATTACCAGACTTTTAGAAGACATCTGAAGGCAGCCATGTTTAGGGAAGCTTTTAATGTTTGATGTATTACGGTATTTTAGTGTTTATTTGGAAGCCGCCCAGAGTGGCTGGGGAAGCCCAGCCAGATGGGCGGGGTATAAATAAATAAATAATAATAATAATAATAATAATAATAATAATAATAATAATAATAATTATTATTATTATTATTATTATTATTATTATTATTACAGTGGTACCCCGCAAGACGAACGCCTCGCAAGACGGAAAACCCGCTAGACGAAAGGGTTTTCCGTTTTGGAGGCGCTTCGCAAAACGAATTTCCCTATGGGCTTGCTTCGCAAGACGAAAGCCCATAGGGAAATCTCCGGGGACCTCTTTTAAATGCTAGCGGTGGGGAGCAAAGCCTTTCCCCCCCCTCCGGCCTTCAGAAGAGGTCCAGGAAGGCTGGCGGGGGCCGAAAGGCATTGCTCCCCACCGTTAGCATTTTAAAAGCAGTCCGGGATAGCAGGGAAGCGCTTCCCGCTATCCCGGACGGCTTTTGAAGGCAGGAGAGGTCCGCGAAGCCTGGGCGCGCTGATCTAGGCGCGCGCAGGCTTCGGCATGCCGGCAACTCACCGCAAGCAGCGGCAGCGCTGCCGCTGCTTGCGGAGAGGTCCGCGAAGCCTTGGCCGGACAGCTTTTGAAGGCAGGCGGGGGGGGAGCAAAGACTTTCGCCCCCGCCAGCCTTCAGAAGAGGTCCTGGACCTCTTCTGAAGGAGGGCGGGGGGCAAATGTCTTTGTCCCCCCTGCCTGCCATCCCGGGAGAGCGGAGAGCGGAGAAACGCAGCGCGTTTCTCCGCTCTTCCGGGAGGGCTTTTTAAAGGCAGGCAGGGGGGACAAAGACTTTCGCCCCCCGCCAGCCTTCAGAAGAGGTCCAGGACCTCTTCTGAAGGCTGGCGGGGGGCAAAAGTCTTTGTCCCCCCTGCCTGCCTTCCCAGGGGCTTTTAAATCGCCCCGGACAGCGGAGAAGTCCTCAGCTGTCCGGGGCGATTTTAAAATGCCGCCCACCAGCATTTTAAGATCGCCCCGGACAGCGGAGAAGCCCTCCGCTGTCCCGGGGTTTTTTAAAATGCTGGGGGTGGGAAGAAAAGCCCTTGTCCCCCCCCCAGCCTTCAGAGGAGGTCGGGGACAGACTGTCCCCGGACCTGGTCTGAAGTCGGTTTCCCTAGGAACGCATTAATTGATTTTCAATGCATTCCTATGGGAAACCGTGCATCGCAAGACGAAAAACTCGCAAGAAGAAAAAACTTGCGGAACGAATTAATTTCGTCTTGCGAGGCACCACTGTATTATTATTATTTCATTATTATTATTATAGCTGCTGCTGGTGGGCATTGTTGAATATTGATGGTTGCTTCTTGCATATAAGTGAAAACAATAAAATAAAAGTCTGCTTTTAACTTTTTTATGGCTTCATTGCTGCAAACCATTTTGATATATTTTTTTACAAAAAATATATATTCGTACATCGATGTATTAATAAAGGATGTACGAGAGAGAAGCATTACCTGGGCAGGTGTGCTGGGCAGCTGAGGCTCTGCTGAAGTTCAAGGTGCTTCTGCTGGGAGCTTGGTGGGCTTTCGTGGCTCCCTTCCCCTCCTGCCACGGCGGCTTGGCTTGGTGTATGGCTCTCTTCCACTGCCTTGGCCGCATCCTGCCCTGCTCCCCCTTCCCCTTTCACCTCCTGGCTTGGCTCTTCAGGCCCGGCTTCCGCTGCTTCTCTCGGCTCCCCCAGGCCCACGGCAGGCGCCTCTGCTCCCCCTTCTGTGCTGGGGGTGCTGCAAGACCCTCCCTCCTTCTCCATCCTCTGCTCTCCTCCCAGGGGAGCCTCCTCAGACGCTGGGTGTTTGGCAGAGGCGTCCAGACCTGGGGTTCCCTCCTCGGCCTTCAGCTCAGCTTCTGCGCAAGACACAAAATAAGGGAGAGTAGTGCTCTTTTCCCCCCGATACAGCAAATAACAAAAATTAAAGCCACAAAAAGTGTTTTGGGGCATTGCAATAAATTGCCCTACATGCCAAGAGGAGGCAGTGTTTATTCATTTATTTGAAAGAAAGAAAGAAAGAAAGAAAGAAAGAAAGAAAGAAAGAAAGGAAGGAGGAAGGAAGGAAGGAAGGAAGGAAGGAAGGAAGGAAGGAAGGAAGGAGGGAGGGAGGGAAGGAAGGGGGGAAGTGGTTTACAAAAGAAAGATAAAAACAACAAAAATTTCATTATGAAAAATTAACAACACAAACTTCAGACATTAAAAAAGTTAAAATAATAAACTAAAACAGGTGAAAGGTTGCAATAGCTTTCGATACACCTGGCTAGGATTGCTTAAGCAAAGAATGTTTTTAAGCAGGCACCAGAAAGAGTTTGGCGAAGGCAGGTGCCTGACGTCAATAGGCAGGGAGTTCCAAGGTTTTTCTCAGTACAAGGATCCTGTGTGCGAGGGATGGCGTGCCAGTGGCAGGCAGTGCCAGAGGCCAAAGTGGCTGGGGCAACGGATGTTAATTTCATCTTTGTGCAGCAGACTGGTTCCTACATACATTCGAAAACACTCTCTCCTTGCTCTATTCTCCGTCCAGACGGACAAGAACCATCATCAGAGTTCGAGGGTACTTTCCAGCCAGGCAGAGAGGCATTCGGCCCCCAGGTCTGTGGCTCCCTGCCAAATTAACAGCAAACTCGTTCCCTGAATCCTGACCTTGATTTATAGCGCCTCCACACTGTCATTCCGCAGGAGAGAATAAAAAAGGAGAATTTCAAGTTTGCATGATGGAAGGACCCTGGCACAAGAAACCCACCTCTTCAAACTATGGACTTTTTGCAGTAGTGAAGGTGATAGGGACTACATTTCCCAGAATTCTTTGGGCAAAGTCCTGGCTGTTCAGGCGGTACAAGAGAGTTTCCTATATTTTCTCTATGTGCACCATCTAGATCTGCAAATCCGCAGGTCAACCTGAAAAATGCCACAGGGCCTCAAGTGTTCTCCTCCGGAGAGAAAAGCAAACGCTGCAGCAGCTGCCTCTGGAACTCCCTGCCACTTGAGGAAACAGTGAGCTGTGTGCACAAAATAGTATGCTTGTTCCACCCTTTAAAAGCACCGCTTCTCATCCTCTTCAGGAGAAGCAAACGCGCAACAAGGGGAGCATGGGGACGCATGTCCCTGCACCACTCAGAGCGCACGTCAAGGATGAGCATTGGGGAGTGTGCCCAGGCCAAAGGGAAGCTCCTCTGGCTCAGCATCCCATCCCAGACTCAAACTCTCATAGCATTTCTTACTAAAAGTGAGAGCAAAGACCCTCTATCTGGCTGAGACGCCTGGAGAGTAGCTACCAGTCAGATCAGGTAATGTTGGGTGAAGGCGGTGAAGGTCCTCCGTCTGAAGGCAGTTGGAGGATGGATGGCGGCTAACAGATTGAGGTTGAATCCTGACAAGACAGAAGTACTGTTTTTGGAGGACAGGAGGTGGGCGGGTGTGGAGGACTCCCTGGTCCTGAATGGGGTAACTGTGCCCTTGAAGGACCAGGTGCGCAGCCTGGGAGTCATTCTGGACTCACAGCTGTCCATGGAGGCGCAGGTCAATTCTGTGTCCAGGGAGGTGGTCTACCAGCTCCATCTGGTGTGCAGGATGAGACCCTACCTGCCCACAGACTGCCTCGCCAGAGTGGTGCATGGTCTGGTTATCTCCCGCTTGGACTACTGCAATGCGCTCTACGTGGGGCTAACTTTGAAGGTGACCCGGAAACTGCAATTAATCCAGAATGCGGCAGCTAGACTGGTGACTGGGAGCAGCCACCAGGACCACATAACACCAGTCCTAAGACATCTGCATTGGCTCCCAGTACATTTCCGAGCACAATTCAAAATGTTGGTGCTGACCTTTCAAGCCCTAAATGGCATCGGTCCAGTATACCTGAAGGAGCGTCTCGTTCTGCCCAGACACTGAGGTCCAGCTCCGAGGGCCTTCTGGCGGTTCCCTCACTGAAAGAAGTGAGGTTACAGGGAACCAGACAGAGGGCCTTCTCGGTGGTGGCGCCTGCCCTCTGGAACACCCTCCCTTCAGATGTGAAGGAAATAAGTAGCTATCTTTTCTTTAAAAGACATCTGAAGGCAGCCATGTTTAGGGAAGTTTTTAATATTTAATGCTGTATTGTTTTTAACACTCGTTTGGGAGCCGCCCAGAGTGGGGAAACTCAGCCAGATGGGCGGGGTATAAATAATAAATTGTTGTTGTTGTTGTTGTTGTTGTTGTTGTTGTTAGGTTTAATTGTTATTATTGTTATTAGGTTGAACTGTTGGAACAATTGGGTGACCAGTCTTGGGCTGTCCATTGGTCCATCTTCCTCAGTACTGTCTGCACTGGCTGGCAGCAGCAGTCTAGGTTTTCCGGCAGGACTCTCTCCCATCCATTCTGCCTGGCCTTTGCCTTGGAATCAACTTGATCCCCTCCCCCTCTTTCCTTTTCTCTTTCTCCTTCTGTGATGGAACTCCTACTTGGGGACTTCCCTGGCTTTTTTCTGGCCCATGTATGACAAGTCTGGATAGTTGGGTGATATGTACTGAGTTGAATAGGATCCAAAATGCAGCAGTCTGATTAGTCCTAGAACAATAGGATTCAGAATGCAGCAGTCTGATTGGTCCTAGAACAATAGGATCCAAAATGCAGCAGTCTGATTGGTCCTAGAACAATAGGATTCAGAATGCAGCAGTCTGATTGGTCCTAGAACAATAGGATCCAAAATGCAGCAGTCTGATTGGTCCTAGAACAATAGGGTACAGAATGCAGCAGTCTGATTGGTCCTAGAACAATAGGATTCAGAATGCAGCAGTCTGATTGGTCCTAGAACAATAGGATCCAGAATGCAGCAGTCTGATTGGTCCTAGAACAATAGGATCCAGAATGCAGCAGTCTGATTGGTCCTAGAACAATAGGATTCAGGATGCAGCAGTCTGATTGGTCCTAGAACAATAGGATCCAAAATGCAGCAGTCTGATTGGTCCTAGAACAATAGGATTCAGAATGCAGCAGTCTGATTGGTCCTAGAACAATGCAGCAGTATGATTGGTCTGCAGGAGCCACCCAATCCAGCTCCAGATGGAAGTGAATCCACAACCTGATTGACCTACAGGACAATTCCGGAATTAGCCAATCATGTGCGGCCCATTGTGTAAATAACGTATATAAAGCAGATACTTTGGGGGAACTTCCATTCCTCCTTACCACTATGAGCTGAATAAAGAGCATGAAATCCACTCTCGACTCCGAGTATATTTCATTGGCCTTGGTGAAGACTTCACGTTTTCATCCCCAAAAAAGTTTTTGATTTGAGTTCCTACTGAAATGAGGCTGTATTTTAATGTTGTATTTTAATCTTGTTTTTAAGTTGTATTTTAATCAATCGTTTTTATACCTGGTGTTAGCCGCCCTGAGCCCACTCTTGGCTGGGGAGGGCAGGGTATAAATAAAATTTATTATTATTATTATTCCCTCACTGCGAGAAGCCAAGTTACAGGGAACCAGGCAGAGGGCCTTCTTGGTAGTGGCGCCTTCCCTGTGGAACACCCTCGCACCAGATGTCAAAGAAACAACAACTACCAGGCTTTTAGAAGACATCTGAAGGCACCCCTGTTTCGGGAAGCTTTTAATGTTTGATGTATTATAGTATTTTAATATTCTTTTGGAAGCCGCCCAGAGTGGCTGGGGAGGCCCAGCCAGATGGGCGGGGTATAAATTATATTATTATTATTATTATTATTATTATTATTATTATTTATTATTGGTGAGCTGCAGCCCCTAGGCTCTGGCGTGACCCCCAGCTATTCTGAATTTAAGATAGCATCTTTTCCCATTTCCCCCTGCTGCCTGCAACACGCGTTTCCATCTGCTGCAGTCCATCCTCTGCCAAAAACTACATTATTTGTTTTGCTGTCCGGGGTGGTAGAATTGCATTATATTTTCATTATTACACCCCATTCATTTCGATGCAAAGGAAAACACAGCGGAAATGGGGGGAGGAAACACAACACAGATTCTCAGAGTTGGAAGGGACAGCAAGCGTCTTGCAATGCGAGAATCAGTGTCAAATCAATTCCATATTGAAGGCTGGAAGTGACAACAGTGGATACCAATTATGTCCAATGGATTGATTTTGATTCCGCAAATGCATTGTCAATTTTCATTCCCATTTCCACTGGCAATCTGACATCCTGCTGGGGATATTGGACAGTGAAATCCCAAAGAAAGTTTCAACAGTATTTCTATATGTGACTACAGCGGCGAAGATTCTCTGTGCACAGAAATGGAAGGAGAAGAACACCCTCAAAGGGAGGATGGCTGTGAAAACCTTGGAATATGCAGAGATTGCAAAATTGGGAGCGCGGATGAAAGATGCAGATACAGAAAGAAACAGATTTAGAATCTTTCAAAGAAGACTAGAAAAGCCTTTTCTAGTCTATATAAAAAGTTGTTTTCCCATATGCGAAGGCCACAGTGGAGTTTGAAGCGTTATTTATTATTATTATTATTATTATTATTATTATTATTATTATTATTGAAAACAGCAGAATGTATTAAGAAACAGCTTGGAGAGGATGAAGACCGAACCTTAAAATGCAATTGTATGTAATTTGGGCTATGAATATCGCTGTTGGATGAGTGAGAGCTCACTAGTTTTGTTGAACTGGAATATACGGTAATCGTTGAGCTACAAATGTAACTTTCTGTAATGTAAAAAAGAACAAAATATTATTATAGGGAGAAAAGTAATCTCTGACATCCCTGCTCTTAATCAACCCTATCAATCAAAAGATGATCTACTGTGTTGCCTAGAGTAGATTCAATTCCCTAATTCGCACATTGGAATAGAGAGTATTTCCTTTTCAGCCATTCTTTTTTTCCCTAAAAGAATTAATTTATTTTGGGATTTTTACATACATTATATTCTCTCCTTCCAATTTTTAAATTTCCTGTACAATTTTTCCTTCCCCTCCCTTCCCACCCCCCTCCCCATAACCATTGGAAGGGTTCAAACAATTATCCTCAGCCACGGGCATAGCGTCATTAGTTTCTACCGAATGTCTTTTGTTCCAGTAGTTTTTATCCGTTGAAGATAGGGGTTCCTTCTGTTCCTTATCGTGGTGGACTTGACCTTCCACGTTGTTTCCTGTGACGTGACTGCAACAATGTCCGACTAAATAAGGTAAAGGTAAAGGGACCCCTGACCATTAGATCCAGTTGTGACCGACTCTGGGGTTGCGGCACTCATCTCGCTTTATTGGCCGAGGGAGCCGGCGTACAGCTTCCGGGTCATGTGGCCAGCATGACTAAGCCGCTTCTGGCGAACCAGAGCAGCGCACGGAAATGCCGTTTACCTTCCCACCGGAGCGGTACCTATTAATCTACTTGCACTTTGACGTGCTTTCAAACTGCTAGGTTGGCAGGAGCAGGGACCGAGCAACGGGAGCTCACCCCGTCATGGGGATTCGAACCATCGACCTTCAGATTGGCAAGCCCTAGGCTCTGTGGTTTAACCCACAGCGCCACCCTTATCCGACTGAAGAAGTTCGAACAAATAACTATTCCATGCCTCTACTGTCCATTTTTCTCTATCTTTCCAGCCTAAAGCTACCATTGCCTTTTCTGCTAATATCATAACTTTGAAAGTAAACTGGTCTCCTTTCTCTATAGCCGCGTTTCCAAGTATACCCATGGTCATGAAATCAAAGTCTATTGAAAGCTTCGCTTTAAACAGTTCATTAATAACCTTTAGGATTTCACCAGAAGCCTTTATACTTGGAATAATAGGACTGGAAATGCCCCAAAAAGATGTTAGACTGTTTTCGTATGCCACTACAGCGGCAAGACTTTTATTAGCCAAAAGCTGGAAATCACAATAAATACCAACAATAGAAGAATGGCAGATAAAGATGTTGGACTTTTTGGAGCTGGCCGACCTGAGTGGAAGAATCCGCGACCAGAAAGAAGAGGAGATACAAGAGGATTGGAAGAAATTTAAAGAATATTTAGCTAAATATTGTGATATAAGATAAATAGAAAATTCTTGGAAATAACAAATAGGCTTAGGGATAAAATAAGAATATAAGATAGTAAATATTAAGGATTAAAATATTAATATTGGAGAAGAGGTTAGTAAATGAAAAGAGTTAATATTATTAGAAATATGAATTTGGAGAACTGTTATATAGGTGATATAATGAAATTCAGTTAGAGGGGATTCGAGGAAGTCAGCTATCAATGTAACGAGAATTAGGTATTTGAAGAAACAATTTTTCTTTGTGTTTAATTTATGTGCTTTTCTTGTGTGTTTTGTTATGTCATTTTTGTGATAAATGTGGAAAATCAATAAAAAAATTGGGGGGGGGGAATAAAATAAAATAACCTTTAGGATTTTATTCCAGAATTCCTTTAGCTCTGGGCATTCCCAGTACATATGGGGAAACCACCCCTTGCTAGTTTACAGTGCCAACAGTTAGAGTTCAATCCTGCCACCATATTAGCTAGCTGGGCAATTCACCCATTCCTTATCCTGACCGTGAGAAGGCAATGAAAGCAGCCTTGAGGGACAAGGGCCTCCGGACCAGAGCAGGTTCTTGCATGGCTGCAGCCTGGACAGAGCCCAACCGGGACGCCCTCTGTGCCAAGGGAGGGAAGACTTGGCAGGCTGCTAACCAGGCCGGCCGGCCACCCTGCGGAGGCAGCTGCAAATGGGTCCCATCAAGAAAGTGGCTGGAGTCATAGCGATTCTGCCCATCAAGGACACACAGCAGAGACACATGCATCCCGCTCGAGTTCACTGGGATTAAAACAACCGCCTCGCCTGGTCCTCCGTCTTGCAGCAGACCAAGCACATCGCTTCTCCAGTGTCCCTAATGGTCAGGAACAATTGTTTGACCCAATTAATGATCAGATGATTGATTGCCGGCCGGCCTTTAATACTCATCCCCTGCTGGAACCAAACATTCGTGGCATTTGCCCACATTCATCATCACTTGCGGCTGCACACTGAGTCTCCCTCCCTCCCCCTGCTATCTGCCCGCACTGTGGAAATTATGATTGTAAGCTCCCAGGGGCAGGGGCTTTTTCCTTTTTGTTGAAGAAAGCTCAGTGTGGCGTTGTATACATTGGTAATTAAATCTCAGCCATCACCATGAGTGTTTGTGATGGCTTATAATTACAACCGGTCAGGAATCAATAAAAAATAGTAAATTCACATTTCACTGAAACCACATGGAAGTTATTGTGCATGACAAACATTTAGGTGGAATTGATTTGTCTACTACAAAAGAAAACTCAGCCTCAGGCCTGAAAAAAGCATGAGGTGACTTAAAGATTCATGACTAAAGGATATCACTTCATTATTGGAACAAAACAACCTCATTAATATACCGGTAAGTCTTCCCCAATTCCTCCGTACAGCAATATACCAGAAGCAAAACCACATCCAAAGATAAACAAGAATGCTCCCTTTCCATCCCTACCAGTTAAAAAATTCCCGCATCAATTAACATGCTGGCTGATTGATCCATAAATCAGATCAATTAGCACTTGCAGGCCTGTTTGGAATGCCCCTGATTTTTACATTTTTTTCCTCTTTGGCTTGGCCCGTAGCCATGCCCATTCCACAGAGCACCTGACTATTATTTCAAACTATACTCCACAGGCACATACACACACACACACACACAATGAAAAAGGCCAACGGAATAGATGTTCTGGTGCCTAAATACAAACTCAGTCCAACTTTGCAGACGATTCCCAGCTTTGCACAAAATTTCACAGTTCTCCGCAAACTCTGGATTCATTTTGCACACATGCTCTGCTTCAAGGTGTGTTGTTTTTTTGCCACCCCAAGGCACCTAGTCGATAGGTGGGTGGCAGCTCAGACTAAAGCTCAAGGCTGCCTTGGAATCAAAAGCCTGAATTGTGCAAGGAAGAAGCTTGCAGCGTGAACGGCACTCCAGACGGCCGAAGGAAGTCAGCAAAAGTCTGGCCAAGATTTGCCTGATTTTACCCTAGGGAGCAGATGGAAATAGCCGCTTGCAGAGAGCCATCGCCCGGGCACCTGCCAGAGACATTAGCCTCAAGAGCAGCCACCTCAGAGCTCGATTCTCAGAGCAGGAGCCACCAAGACGGTCGAGAGGACCTCTTTGGCCCAAGGCATCTCTCGACTGCTGGTAGCAGGGCATCCAAACCACGCCAAGGCTACCCTGCACGATGCCCGTGCAATGCTGGTGGGAAGAGCATCCCCAAACCATCTCTCTCCATCTCCCACGAACAAAAGGTTGGAGTTTACCTGGACAGGTAGCCCTCCGCATAAACCCACGGAAAGGCCAGGAGCAAAACTGCAGGCTAGAAGACGACTCTGCCCGGCCCAAGGAAGTCCCAGCGCAGAGTGAGGCCTCTCCCAGTCTCTACCCCTGGGGAAACGAGGCAAGGGACCCGTTACCTACCGTCGCCGTTGCCGACGGCCGCCAGCGCTGGATTAAAAGTGGGACAGAGCTGCCCGCCTTCTATACTCTGCGTAACCGAGCTGGATTAAGCGTGGGGAGAGAGGAGTATCTTTTACCCCAGAACTCTGGCAGTTATGAGCCTGCTGCGCTCTGCTCTGCGGGGCCACCTGTTCCCTCTGGCTTCCGTTCAAAGGACACTCCATTCTGCTGCCCGGCGCTCTCTCTCTCCTGCTCAGAGGAGATGGGAATTCAAACAAACAGAAATCAGATGACCCAGCCACCCTTGCTGAACTCCCTGCTCCTTGGGGAGCCTGCCGGAGGGGGTCTGGCCCAGAGGAGAAAGCCCTCCCTTGCCCGCCCGACCCCCAGCAAGACCCAAGCGGGGAGAGAAGGCTTTCTTAGGCAAGGTCTCCTGGGTTTGCGTGTCCCAGGGAGGGCGTCCCATAGATGCCCAGGGCTGTTTAGCGGCGATGGGGATTAGGCCAGACGCAACAGGCAGAATCTCCTATTGTTTAACCTTTGCCAAGTGCCAAAAGGCTGTTCAGAGTAGCAGAGTGCCAGGGCCCTTCCCTGCTCAGGGGGGTTGCCATCTATATTAAGACCAGGAAGGAAATGGGCAGTTTGACTGGGGAAACGGAGGATCAGCTCAGGCGAGGGCAATTCCCACCCTGTGCGTCACAGGGCATACATTGAAGGCGCCAGGGAGCCCCTGTTGGAACTCTGAACAATTCACTGCTCCGGACTGCCAAGAATTCCCTGCTAGGTGGGGTTGCCCGAGCTCTGACCCGGGGCCTCCAGGTTTGCCTGGTCCCCTCCAGGTGGCAGGTGGAAGGTTGGAATCTCCAGGTGGGCAAGTGAACCTTTAATCATCACTGCAGGAGCGCAGATGTTCAAGGCGTTAACCAGGCCAGAGGTGGCTGAAAGGCGGAGGAAAAGAAAGTTTTCTGAGCCCTTGGGCAGCAGTTCTGTTGCAGACAGAAGAGCGTCCATCTTGCAAGCGTTCAGCCCCTTTGAAGCTGGCTTAAAGTTATATGAAATATACTCGGAGCCGAGAGTGGATTTCATGCTCTTTATTCAGCTCCTAGTAAGGAGGAATGGAAGTTCCCCCAGAATGTCTGCTTTATATACATTATTTACAGAGTGGGCCCCACGTGATTGGCTAATTCCGGGATTCTCCTGTAGGTCAATCAGGTTGTGGATTCACTTCCACCTGGAGCTGGATTGGGTGGCTCCTGTGGACCAATCAGACTTCTGCATTCTGGACCCTATTGTTCTAGGACCAATCAGACTGCTGCATTCTGAATCCTATTGTTCTAGGACCAGTCAGACTGCTGCCTTTTGGATCCTATTCAACTCAGTACATAACATCATAGCACAGACATTCTGGAGGGGGGGTCCTCTGCTCCCCTCCCAATTAACCTCTGTCTCCAGGACCAGTGACATCACCAGGGGCCACCTCTAGGTCTCAGGTCTGGGCCCTGAAATTTCATGGACTGGGATGCTTCTGACCTGGCATGAGGCGACCAGCCCATCGTTGCAGTAGCAAAGGCATAGTCGTTGCCCTGATAATGACAGGTGCACATCATTTCTCTGTTGAGAGTCCCTCCATCGATTGGCCAATAATCTGGAAGCATGGTCAGAAAAGGGATTTTAATACCATTTCCCCAGACGCTGCTAGGAAAACCACAAGCAGGATTCGAACACGCTTCCTTCCTTCCATTTCCAACTACAGGCATTCACAAGTGCTGTACACAGAAAATTGCCCTTTTCCCCTTATGGGGCATCCAAGAGCCCACACAGAGTCCTTACGTAGGTTCCCTATTGGTAGGAGAAAATAACAGAGGCCAACCAGAGAATATTGAGAAGCAAAGCAGCTAGTAAGCTTGATCTTTATTGATCTGTTGCAACAGGGTGCTCCCTTCACACGCAGGAGGGAGGAGGAACCCAGAACCAAAGTGTGCCCACCCTTATACAGAAATATTAAATTCCCTGCCCTGGAGCTCAAGATCATACATACATCACAATAGGGGTGTAACCCAAGGCCACATACATCATACCTATAACACAGAAAAGGCGGTCTACAGCAGAAATCTGAGTGCGTTGTTTATCTCGTCTGACAGGTTACCTATTAATGCTCACTTGATTGGATACGTGGCCAGTCTTTTGTCATGATAAATACTTAGTTCCTGAGCCAGGTCACAGGCTCACCCTACTCAAACACAGACAGACACACCCTTAAGACAGGATTTGTGAAGAAAAAGACAATGGGGAGGCTTTTCCATTTTCCTACTGTGGGAGGGAGTTCCATAGCTTAGCTATGCCCCATCCTTTCTTGTTTGTTTGTCCTGAACCTATCACCCCACCCTAGGCAGCCCCTCTCTCTCTCTCTTTCCCCCTGCAGAAGAGTGGCAGTTAGCGCCTGCCCGGGAAGGAACTCCTCCTTGTTTGCAAAATGTCAGGCATGGCATCTTTTCGCTGCTCTTGGCACAAATGCCGAGGACCAAAATAATTCTGGAAAGGACCCAGGGCCCGGGGCAGGGGAGGCTATGAGGGTCTCTCTCTAGCGGGGTCTGGTTCAGGAAAGAATCACCCTTAGTCACCGTGACGGAAAGCAGGAGGAAAGTGCCTTGCCCTTTCAGACAAGCAAACAGCTTCTTGAGCCCAGCGCCACAATCCCCAGGCAAGGGGGCTGCTGATCAGTAGCGAATGCATCCAAAGCCTCGTCTCTTTTCCATCCTGAGTGGAGCAGACAGAGGTGAGGCATATGGAGAGCAAGGGATGCATCTAAGTAAAAAGCCAAGTGAGCTTGCGGGGTCCCAGATATGCCTGCAAATACTTGCCCGTTCTCCTGAGCGCACACATTCAGCTGGGCGAGGAAAGGGCCCAGAGATCCCGTCCTGTCAGGCTGCCAGCTCCGGCCTAATTAAAACAAGTCATCCATCCGCTTCCTTTGCTCTCGTGCCGGGAGTCAGATTCTCGCAGTCAACAAGTGTGCCAAGGATCAGAGGCTGGGAAGGGCTTTGAATGAGCTGCTTAGCCAGACCCAAATGTGCAAGCGATACAAGCATCTGCCAGGGGGCAGGGGGGAAGCAATGGGGGGTTTGGGCAGGGGGTGGGAGGGTATGGACAAAATTAGTGCAGGATCCAAGAAACCGCTGCCCGGGATCTTTTGAATGGTGCAAAAGCTGGTGGGGCGCCACTCCCAAAGAGAAGAGCGCAGGCAACATCCAGATGAGAAGTGGTGCTTTTAAACCGGGGGACAAGTGTACTGTTTTGTGCACACAGCTCACCGTTTCATCAAGTGGCAGGGAGTTCCAGAGGCAGCTGCTGAAGTTTCCTATTCTATCCAGAGGAGAGCACTTGAGGCCCTGTGGCATTTTTCGGGCTAACCTGCGGATTTGCAGATATAGATGGTGCACATGGAGAAAATATAGGAACCAACGAAGATCCGATTGGATCAGGCCAATGGCCCATATAGTCCAGCAGCCAGTAGGCTTGGTCTTTATTGAAGACTGTCGTGACAGGACTCCCACCTGCCACCAGGTGGAACAAGATAGAAGCCCAGAACAAAAGAGCCCCCAAACTTTTATTAGCTGCTAATCCCCATGTTACACCCCCCCCAACTACATCACTCATACATCACGGTTACATCATGAAAGGGGAGGTCTGGTGGCAGTAAGCTGAGCATCTTGGACCCTGCCCCATGGCTCTCCTTGCCCTCCACCAAACACCCATCAAGTGTAACAAAAAGGATCTTTACATTTCCCTGTTTCCCAGCCAAGTTCATCACACCCTTTTGTCTTCATCTGGGTTTGTTATTTTTGGAATGGCTACCTGTCTGGCACTCAGGTATCAGGATACCAGGGATTATCCCTCAGGCAGAGGGGCTGCTGAGTAGCTGAGCTCTCATGTCTATATGAATTTCTGAAGTTTTCCCAGTGAGCCAGTACAGAGATACATTTATCAGTGAATTCTTACATTTGGTATTGTGCAGCAGAGGCCCTTTGAATAGATAGGAAGAAACTGCGATGAAGTGTTTTGCGGGGACATCACAAAAGTGATAGTGTTGATTTTGGCAGTGGGCTGCATGTGCATGATCTCTGCTGGAGGGGCAACCCCCCCATACATAAATTCCTGCAACAGGATTAAATAAGGCGGGGGGGCGGGGCGGAGAACAATGTCTGCCACTTTGAGCTCCTTGGAGGGGGGGAGTTGGGATATAAATGCAATAAATAAATTAAATCCACAGCTGGACAGCACGCAATTGGGTGTTGGGTTCCATGCCCCCCCCATCAGGATAAATCAGAATTAAATGGAGGGGATGTGTAAACTGCCCCTTCGAAGAGGACTGCATGGGATGCCCTGCCTCCCCTTTTAACAGCTGTGAATCCACTGCCCCAGCTGCAGATTCAGCCTGGTGTTGCCCCAGCCACTTAAGGAAACTGCCCCCCCTCCAGGGAGCTATTCTCTCCTTAGCAGCCAGAGCTGAAGAGCTCATTGCCTGTTCTGCCTTGCATCTCACGCCCCCCCCCCTCCAGCAAGCTAAGAAAGGAGCAGTGATTCATACATTGTTGTCCGCAGCATAGCAGCGAGTTAGCACCCTGCGACTATGCCATTCACCTCATTAGCCTTCATCAGCCTCCGCCATGGGCTGGCCAAACAATCAACGGCAAAGGAGCGATTGTCTCATTAGCAATGGCTTTTGCAAGGCCTCAGAGGCCGGGTGCCGTTACAGCACTTAGAAGGCAGCCGGGCTGGTTGCTGCCCAAGGCAGAAAAAAGAAAAGCCCACAAAGGTTTTGTTCCGCACTAAAGAAGCACATCTATTTATTAATTGCTCTCGTTAATTTGATGGCCGCTGTTCACCCTAAGGCTGCTAGGAGCGTCACGCAGCATTGAAACACAATGTTAAGAGCAATTTAAAGCAACTTACAAGCACAAGTACAAGGTGGATTGCAGAAAAACGTACGCCTCAAGTCTCAAAATTCAGCGTAAAGAGGTGTGCCTTGAGCAATCTGCGGAAATTTTACAAGGACTTCTTCTTCTGCCAGAGCACTTCTGCCAGAGGGAGTTCCAGTGGTGTAGTGTACGGTGGGGGGGGGGCGAGAGGGGCAGTGGCCCTGGGTGCATTTGGGGGGGTGCAAATTTTTCACGGGAAATTGATGGCCCTGCCGTTAAGGCTGGATCACCCAGGTGGACTTGGCTAGGACTGAACTGGGCTCC